ATCTAATTCTAAATATGTTTGTCTTTAATTTTTAAAAGAGTTTTATCTTTTTAAAAACTAATAATATGTGTATTTAAAAACAAGGATGTTCTTAATTGAAGCCCAATTTTGAGGCCCAAAGCTGGCTTCCATTGGAGTAGGGATGACAATAGGTAAAGGATCTAATGGGCACCCGCAAAATTTACCCACAACGGGTAGGATATTTACCCGTTACATGGGTATGGGTATAGGTATGAGTAAATACCTACAAATTTTAATGGGGATGGGTGCGGGTATGGGTATCTATGTATCCACCCTGCCCCATACCTGCATATATATATAAATTTTATTCTACAATTATGTATTAAATTTTTGTATTATTATATTATTTATATAAATTTATATAATATTAATATAAAAATATATTTAATAATAAAGTAAACCAAAAAATGTATTTTATGTTATATTTTTAATAGAATGATTCAGTTACTACTTTATATTGTTTAATTAAGCTAATACAATTTAATTATTACACAATTGATATGAGATTGACTTTTTAAAAAAATATTATTTATATATGATACGCATATAAATTATTTTTCACACAAATATTTTTGTTAATAAAATCATATTGATATTTAAATCATAAAGTGAATGATAAATAATAAATATATTATAAATATTTTATAAATTTTATAATCACCTATTATTACTGTAGACTTATTATTTATTGATAATATTTAAATTTTATTTTTTATATTTTAATTTAAAATAATATTTTCTTATACAACATGTGCATTAAATCTAAATAATATTATTCTTACCATTTGATTTACCAAAAAAGTGTTTGAAAAGATATAAAATATAAAAAAAAATATTATTAATTCTTATTTGTTAATTTTTCTTCGGATAAAAACATATATTTTTTATATACATGTATATTTCTTTATTATAAAATTTTATTGTGACCATTTATCTTTTATTTAAATTCTTTCTTTTAAAATTTATATACATTATAAATATTTAATTTATTAAAATAATTTTTCAAAAATTTGTATATTTAACAAAATACTTTCTTATAGTACATGAATTAAAAATACTTGTATTAATATATATATATATATATATATATATTATTTTAAATAAATCCGTTATTTTTTTTACAATTTCAGCTTCAAAAGTTAAAAAAATATTTTATATATCCACTTTTTATTGTCATTTGGTACTTGAATTTCTCTGTCTTAACTCTACTCTCATTCTCAATATTTGTCTCATTAAAACTTAGTAACTATAAAACATTATTCATCAGAGTTAGTTGCCATAAAAGGTCACCAAGTAATTCCACTTAAAAGGTTACTAATTGTGCAAATTTATCTCGTTGTAACTCTGTTGTTGCCGTACGATTAGATCTCACACAAGATAGGGTCATTGCTAACAAATAATTTGTGTGTTTAATTTCTTTTATTATTTCTAATAATTTTAGTTTAGAAAATTGTGATATTAAGAGATATTTAGTATTTGTGATCTTTGAATATTTATTTTTTATCTATATTTATACCTTGTTTGGAAAATACTTATTGAATTTTTATATTATTATACTACTTATGTGAAGTTAAATAAACATATTTTTTCTCAAATAAGCGCGAGTAATAGGTACAAGATGGGTATGCGGATACCTAGAGGGTACAGGTACAGGAATCAATGTTCGTACCCACGCAGATATGAAGCTGGGTACGAGTATTTTTTTAAAATGCAGGTATGAAAATAAGTACTATAGTACCCTACCCATATCCTACTCATTGTCATCCTTACATTGGAGAGCATGAGCCCACGTGATACAAAAGCCCTTAATGAATTCAGCAGCATCACTGACCTCAAAAAAATAAATAAATAAATCGTCTATTGAGTGAGTGACTTATTTGAATTTAATTTGTAATTTTGAGTTTGAGTTTAAATAAATATAATTATATCAAATATTATAAGAAACAGCAAAATGTTTCGCAGACGTCTATGAAAGTGTCTATATCAAAATAAATAATTGATAAATACGACAAACGAAGTGATATGATAAGAAAAAAGAGATACAAAAGATGCTAAATGGATGTTGAAAGTGCTTATGAATCATAGTTGAATGCAATAATATGCTGCACATATTTAGGTGATATTATCAGAATTAATTTATGTGTAAATATAATTCTATTTAGGTGATAAAATAATTACGTTCTGAAATGCTGATTTATTCTTTATAAATTTCTCATAGAGTTAGTTCTTATTAACAGAAAAAATAAAACTGTTCTTAAATTCAATTCTTCTGTAAAATTGACTTGAAGATTCAAACAGTTTTTCAAACACATTTTTGTCGTGCAATTTAATTTGGAAACAATTGTGAAATTCAACGACATAAACATTAGTCTTTTTTTTTCACTAACTTAAAAAACAAGTTACATATAGTTTTTTATTACGATATTTAATTTACATCGATAGGAACTTATTTTTAAGATATCTTTTCATTTTAAGCATTTTTTAAAATAACAATGTAATAAAAAAATTCACACAACAAGAAGGACTAAAACGTGTTTGGTTTTTTTTTTTTTTTATGTTGTTGAGAATAGTTTTTTCTTTAAGTGTTATTATAAAATACTTTTTAATCTTATAAAAAATATATTACCCGATCATTAACAAAAAGAAATTATTCTAAACTAATAGAAACAAACGGCATATATATAGCAAAAGCAAGCCTCACGCCTTGTTTACCACTGCATCACTGATAATTGCAACAACAAAGAGTAAATTAGGGTATCCAAAGGATAAAGTCAAAAATAATTTTTAAAAACAAGTTTCTATGAATTCAACACAAATCTACGATTAGAATAATTAAATAATAATGATAAAGTTGATATTATAAATTTACGAATGACTAGTTTGTAAAATTATAAGTTAAATGTTTGAGCACTTCAGTACATGTAAAAATAATATATATTGTTCTTGATTCGGTTATATACAGTGATTTGTAAAATAAAAATACATAAGCGTATTTTCATTATAATATTTGGATAATTTTTATTATATATAGTGATTTGCATTGTACCCTTTAAAATAGTATAACTAATGATAGATAATAATTTGCATAACATTAATTTCATTTTACATTTAATGAATAAAACAACATATGAATACCAGTGCCTGAATCTTAACTCTTTTAGAGCTCTTGTCGTTGATATAATAAGATGAAAACAACAATAAACTATGATAATTAAATAAGATAAAAATATGATGTATTGTTTTTTTATTGTTAACATGTATTAAAATAATAAATTAGATACAATATAACAATATCTTATTTTATTATGTTTGATTTTTTAAAAAAAATTATAAAGGATGAAATTTTCACTGTGATATAAGAACTAGCAAGTTTAATAGATTTATTATATGAAGTTAGTTAAATAAACATTGAAATAAAAAACTATAAAAGATTAAGATAAATTTTTATTTTATTTGATGCACGCTGAATAAAATAAAATAAACCATTATATTACATTTTCTTGTCATATCTACCAAATTTTACCTGTCCATAACTTTTTTTTTTGTTATGTTTTTTTTTTCGATAATTTGAATCTAATCATTATTTCTAAATACGATATTCAACTCAAAACTATTCCAATCATTATGAACAACAAGAAAGTAAATTTCGTAAAATACAGTTAAGTCATAAAAAATAATTAAAGTACTTATTTTTAAAGATATTTTTACTGTAAAATTTATGATAATAATGTATACACGAAAACAAGTGTAATTATCAATTCGAAGATATTAATTAAAGATAAAAATAAAAATAAAAATAAATTTTAAATTATAATTATATTATTTATTGAACACGTGAATCAAGTGAAAAATTTGTTTTATATTTAAAAATAAAAAATATATAACTTGTTTATAAATTTTTTAAGAGAAATAATTGTCTAATCCTAAAAAATAATAAAAATGAACGTTTATATGTTTTTTAAATAATATAAACTAAATATATACATATACTTCACAATCCTAAGTGCCAATAGGAAGTTGTCAAAATATAAAAGAAACGTTTGATTTTTAGGAGCATTGATAGTTAATTGAAAATGATATAAATTAAATGTGGAAAGATTGACAGCACACACACAAAACTGGTTAATTTTAATTTTGTTTAGTTTTTTTTTTCAAGACATTGATATTATAACTATCTTGCATATGTACACAAATACCTTTTTTTTTTCTTGTACACAAATACTTTGAAAGACAAGTAAAAATATAAATAATTTTCAAAATATTATTTCAATATATGAAAGAATGTTTAACTAAAGATAATATAAATTCAAAACAAAATTTTGAAAAATAGAATTTGATCTACCTAATAAAAAATAGTTTCAAAGAAATTTGAATACTGTATAAAACACTGAGAATACAAGTGACTGAAATTTAGAATTGAAAAAAAAAATGAAAGTTAAGGATATGTCAATATAAAAAGATAACTAATAAATTTAGAATACTTTGATATTATAGTATCATAATACAAGAAATAGATCCACTTGACCTAAATAATTTGACTTTAGAAATAAAATAATAGAACGGTTTTATTTGTTATGAAAAAAACTGGGTAGCTGCATGACTGCGTTCCTAGGTGGAAGGAATGTCTCTCTCTCTCTTTCCCTAAACCGCGCGAAACACATCTTGGTTCCTTCAAAACGAAAAGCAGTATTTGAAACGAGGTGGTTGTTCTCGACCACCTTTCCCTATAAATAGCCCCAAAACCAAACAACCCCCACCCCCGCCTTCATCTCTTTTCTCCTCGTTACTCCTTCACTTTAACCCCATCCTCTCTTCTCTTCTCTTGTCTTCATTCACCACCACATGTTTAAACGACACCTTCAATCTCTCTCTCTCCCCCCTCCAATATTCCCATTCTCTCTGATTTTCCCAATTTCCATGAAAGCCTCTGCCTTGGTTTGATTTCAATCCCTTCTTTTCCGGGTTTCCGAGGACCCGACATGGCAATTCCCTTCCCCCATTTCATTGATTCGGAGAAAGCAGCCATGGAAGCTGGTATTCTCCTTCCTTCTTTTCCCTCTCTGATTCTCACCCAAGACGATTTGAAGAAGATCGCCGCCTACAAAGCCGTCGAGTACGTTGAATCCGGCATGGTCCTCGGCCTTGGAACCGGCTCCACGGCCAAGCACGCCTTCGACCGAATCGGCGCTCTTCTCCGACAGGGCAAGCTCAAGGACATCATAGGAGTACCCACCTCAAAGAGGACAGAAGAACAGGCCCTGTCGCTTGGGATTCCCTTGTCGGATCTCGATTCCCACCCTGTCGTTGATCTTGCCATTGACGGTGCCGATGAGGTTGACCCTTTTTTGAACCTGGTGAAGGTTCGTGGTGTCTCCCTCTTGAGGGAAAAGATGGTGGAGGGTGCGTGTAAGAAGTTCGGGGTGATCGTGGACGAGTCAAACCTGGTGAACTTTTTGGGGGGCAGTGGTTTGGCTATGCCTGTTGAGGTTATACAGTTTTGTTGGAAGTTCACTGCTGATAAGTTGCAGAAGCTGTTTGAGGAATCTGGATGTGTTGCAAAGCTCAGGACTTTTGGGGAAAAGGACGAACCTTTTCTCACGGATAATGGGAACTATATTGTCGATTTGTATTTCAAGAAGAGTATTGGGGATTTGAAGGTTGCCAATGATGCCATTTTGCAACTTGCTGGAGTTGTGGAGCACGGGATGTTCCTGGACATGGCTACCACTAAACATTTAGATGAATAATGTAGGTGAAATGGAGGCAGGCTAGACACAAGGTAGTTTCTATTTTATGAATTTCTCATGTAATAAGAAGTTATTGGATAAGCTCTTAATTAAGTTATTTATCCATAATGCACCATTACTATGTGCCTATTTACCACCTTTTAGCTTTTGCACATTGAAGTCCTGATGGGCATTGCCCATTGGCCCTCTCTGTTTACTTAACAGCTGCGGATTACATCTATACCTAATCTGTCTTCTGTCTTGAAGTCTAATTTTCATTCCATTTCCTTTGTTTTTTGTTCTCCTTGAAATTATATTTTGTTGAAGTTTGGAGTCTATTGCTTAGTTACTTTGTTGTTCCACCTTCAGAAGATTATTCTTTTTCTCAGTTCAATTAACCATTATTTGCAGTCAGTTGGGTTCACTGGTGCGGCTAGTTTTATTCTTGCTGTCCTATGGTTTACCTCGTTCGGCTTGGCGCTTGCTGTTCATCTATGCCGTGGATGGGGCATTAACATCAAGGACAAAGGATCGAATCGTTCACAAAGGATTTGTCTTATACTGCTTGTATTGTTCACTGTTGCTGCAGCGTAAGACTCTGTTATTTTAATGTTTCCCTTGTTTAACTTCTTTGTGGGATGCATTATTTCCTTACAATTCTCCTTGTTTTTCTTCCTATTTATCTTAGATACAGAAAGTTTGTTCTTTAATAATCTTTTGTGGTTGGTTACCAAATATTCTTCTGTATTTTCAATTAAAAATTATAAATAGCTAATGTCATGGATGTTTATAGACATAGAAGTTTTCAGGGAATAAAGATCAATCTTTATTTTGGTAATAATGTCATTCAATAGCTGTGGAATTTTGAGAATTAGTTTTTGCACTATACACGTGAAATTTCTGTATAATGCTCGGAGTTAGCTCCAAGTTTTATATGTCAAAATTTCAAACGTGGTTACTAACATGCCTCGTTTCCTTAATCACACAGGACTGGATGTATCCTCCTTTCTGTTGGGCAGGATAAGTTCCATGATGAAGCTTTGGATACCCTCCATTATTTTGTCAATCAGTCAGATTATATAGTGCAGACTCTAAGAAATGTCACTTAGTACCTCTCCTCGCAAAAACTATCGATGTCACTCAGATGCTTCTTCCGTCTGATGTCATGGATGGTATTGACAAGCTGAACGTGGATCTAAATACTGCAGCAGATACACCTTCTGAGAAGACAAATGAAAATTCAGTTAAAATTCGAGGAGTATTCAACGATGGGTATGTGATCATAAAACTGAGAACCCCTCATTCTAGAATTTATTATTCTCTCCCCCCTATAACACTAAACTGTGCACATTTTGTAGGCGTCTAGCTCTGTATGTTGTGGCAGCAGTGATGCTTCTTGTGGTTCTAATTGGACTCCGTATGTGTTGATCATAACATCTTGAATAAATTGAGCTAATTTTTTGGTTATAACTGACTTGTATTTTTGCATTCCTGTCTGTCCTTGGATATCAACATGCAATCCTCATGTGAGTTACATTCCAGAACTATTTGCTTGTGTGTTGATCATAGCTGGAGGATTCTTGTTATGTTCTTTTATCTGATTTTAAAACGTTTTGCAGATTTGTTATCACTGGATGGTTACTGGTTGCAACCACATTCATTCTTTGTGGAGTATTCATGATCCTTAATAAGTAAGCCATTGTATCTAAGAGATCGCAGTTTAATAGATTAGCAAGAACTATTCACTTTCTTGGCTCCCTTTAGGCATTCATTTATTTACCCTTGGAAAAGTGTTCTGCATTCATTGCATCGGATCCCCCCTCCCCCTCTCCTTTGCCTTCTTCAATTCAAAATTGTAACTTATTCCATCACAAAATGCAACCGGAACTGATGATATCCAAATGAAATCCAATTATCTTTATGTTATGGAGATTTCTGTCTGTTAAAAGCTAACATTATCATCTAAACCTGATGAGTAAATTATTTCTATTACTGTGCAATTTCTGACACCTGTATGGCCATGGGAGAATGGGTAGCAAATCCACACATTGAATCTGCTCTTAGTAATGTCCTTCCATGTGTTGATCAGAGAACCACAAACAAAACACTTTTTCAAAGTAAACAAGTGGTCACCAATATTGCAAGTGTTGTCAATCGGTTCATCTATAACACTGCAAACATAAATGCAACAAAAGGTAGTTTTGACTACTACAATCAGTCTGGGCCTTCAATGCCATCTTTGTGCTACCCCTTTGATACTCAGTTTCAAGAGCGCCAATTTATGGCCCAAGAAGTTTCTTCTGCCAATGCTTCAATGGTAATTTTTTCATCACTTGACTTGATTATTGAGCTCTGCCACTTGTTGGCTTTTGTTAGCTTTCTTTCCCTTCCTCTCCTCCCTCCCCTCCAACCAAGAACTCATGTATGTGTTTGTGACAGAGAAATGTTAACTCTTTTAAGTTTTGGATTCTCAGTTGAATGCTGAAAGTGGCAAGATTAGACTACAATGAACTATCTGTATATCAAATCATTTGATTGATGGGCAATGATATTAGTATTTCTGTAAATAGATGGTTGACGACTTGACGTGTATTATACCAAATGACCATAGCATAGCCTATACCTGAAAATATTTTATATAACTTGTGACTATTGTGATTTTTTGCCAGGAGGAAATCAGATGAAAATAATTCTCTCTAAATTATGCTCTTCAATTGTTCTAAATCTTTTGTATTATGTTCCAGTGTTTTCTGCCAACTATATAACACAGAATCTCATTAAAAATCTGTTGTTTAAACTATTCAGGTGTGGAAGAACTACGAATGTGAGGTATCTGAATCTGGTATTTGCACCAGAGTTGGCAGGGTGACCCCTGAGATTTACTTACAGTTAGTGGCTGCGGTGAACGAAAGCTATGCATTGGAACATTATACTCCACCTTTACGTAGCCTTCAGAATTGCAATTTTGTCAGGGATGCATTCACAAGAATCACTTTGAGTTACTGTCCTCCATTGAACCATTACCTTAAGATTATCAATGTAGGACTTGGCCTCGTTTCAGTTGGTGTTCTGCTCTGTCTTGTTCTCTGGATCCTCTATGCAAACCGCCCCGAAGGGAGGAAGCGTTTGAGAAGTTATCCTTACCAGAAAATATAAACATATTTAAGAATAACCAAAACCGCACATATTTATCCTTGTCAAATGCAGATAGTGAAGTATAGATTGTATAATAGAAAATTTGATAAAGTAGACTACTATTGTTTTTCTGTACCCTATATTATGGGAAGAAACAAAGGTGGAGCGAAGCTTCATCTTGTGTTCGATGAGAATAGCCAAAGCAGTGTATTATATACATTTTGTCCATATATAGAAAAAGCAATTTTATTTTGTTTATAGCTTTAGAATTTAAATGCAGACAATTGAAAATCATGACTTAATAAGAACCCTCTTTAATTTTTACATGACATTAATGGAAAATGAAATCTCCGTCTACAAGAACAACCAAATAACTGAAATTTACGCTACAAATGCCATTGCCACAGCCAGAGTCTCAAAGTTCAGAAGGGTCAAACACAATTCTTTCCACGTCAACGCGAAGGGTGTCGTCATGCGCAGCCAGAACATCCCTGACGCCATGAACGACAACCTTGTCATTGAAGAACACGTCCGGGAAGAAAACCGGAACTCCATTTAGAATCAAAACGCCGTCAGATCTTGTGATATTGATGGCGAAGCCCTCCAAGAAAGTGCGCAGCTCCAAACCATCGCCCAAATCCACCAGATCGTTCCACAGAAGCCTGCACGGCACCACATGCCGACGGAAGAACGATGGATACTCACTGAAATCGCCGATGCGGTTCGCCACCGTTTCATCCGCCGGAGCAAACACCGTTATTCCACTCTGCTCCGCCACGCCGGACAGTTGCATTCCCAGAAAGGAAGCCATGGTAGAGTATCCCCTGGATCTTAGGGTTTCAATGGCTTGGTCGACGGAATCGGAGGAACTTATGAGTGTGGTTCTTCCCCGAACACGAGGAATTCGAATTCGAATCCGGATTAGGTCTTTGGTTATTGAACTGAAAACTAGGGTCGAAGAACCTCTCGGTTCCGTAGACTAGCAGAAAACCATCGTCGTAAATGGGCGATTCCGTGAGTTTGATGTTGTTGAGAGATGCTACGTGCTCGGAAGGTGACGTCGTGACGGTTAGAGACTGCCTGGGGAGCATAGTCGGGATCCTGGCGCCGGCGGGGAGAAGCCGGAGACTCGCTGGCGGAAGAGGAAGCGGCCCCAAGTTGAAGCGGTGGAGGTCGAGGGATGGCTGACTGGATTTCTTGAATGCGGAGTCGGAGGTAGCGAAGACGGTGGCGGAAGGGGATTGTTCGAAAAGGTTTTCGGCGACGATTTCGAGTGTGAGTGCCATGGAAACGAAGCTTGAATCGGACAGAATGTCGGCGGCGTCGAATATGGCTTCGTGCGGAAGAGCGAAGCAGAGAGAGAAGAAGAGCGAGAGAAGGAGGAGGAGCGCGAGCGTGGACGCCATTGATGAAGCTCGAGATTTGGCGGGAAATGGATACTTCAAAGGGGCGTTCACTATTTGACGCAACGAGGAAGTAGTTAGAAAGATCGTTAGCCGTTTCTTCGGAAAGACAGAAACGCCCCCTTTCCATTCAATAAATATTATCATTTCTTTTTTCTTGAAACCAATAAAATGCTCCATATTTCTGTTTTTAATTTTATTAAGTTTTTATCGTTTGAATGAATCCAAATTTAATTCTGATTCAAAATTAAAAGTAATTCGAGTTAGATTATTTTATTTTATTTTGCTAAAAGTTAGATTTAAGTTTTTAGTTATAATATTTTAATAAATAAAATAAAAAAGATAATATAAAATAATAAACAAATCAATAACAAAATGATCTAATTTGATAAAAAAAATTATTTTTATTTTATTTTACTTTTTGATTATTTTTTTGACTTACATAGAATTAAATTAATTTCTGAATACTCCTAGATATTATTTTACTTTTGTATAATTTTTGGCATTTGATTTTTACATTTTTACATTTTTATTTTGTCTCCTTAATACATATGAAGAGATACATCTTTTAATAATGGGAATTATTTTTTTTAATTCCGTATTTTTTTTATGAAATGTTGAAATCTTATATGAAAAAGAGATGTCACCAACGATAGGTTTCAAATTTTTTTAATTACAAAATGTTTTTTTATTTTTTTCTTATTTTTAAAAACCAATATAAAAATTAAGAATAAAAAAGATATTTTCGCTATTTCTTATATAAATAATAAAAATAACTGACATTTTTCTAACTATAATAAACATGTGAAATTGTCCATCATAGTTTTAAAAAAAGTTTTCATATAGTTCTTTAGGCCATATAATGGGGGTCCCTTCAAGTTTTAGACCACGGTATTCTTATTATTTTAATATTTATTTAAAGAATTTTGATATATGATAAGTTAGTTATCAAAACTTTTAAAATGCATTTCAGATCTTCAATCTTCTTTATACTTCTAACAGAGTGCTGAATTTTCTTTAAACATCGTTTTTTTTAATGAAATTACATTAGGACGAAATAAAGTCATTTGTAGTATTTTAATGTGCATCTAAATATGCATGAATATCACATCTCTTGGTGTTGTTTACTTTCTTCTTAAATTTTAGTGCCTTCTTGATTCACTACACATGGTATTTGTTATTTTTTTGTTTTACAATACTGAAAAATGTATGTCTTTACAATATTGATTAAAAAAATATTTTTATAATATATATATATATATATTATTATTTTTTTTTGAAATGGAGGACCCTTTTCAGCCAGATCCAATTCTTTTACTAAAATATTACTTAATTTAAAATGAAAGAAAGAATAATGAAACTTTGAGCTCGTAAAAAAACATAATTATTAATAAGTGATTGAAAGAAAAAAAAATAGATTATAAAAATATTAGTTACCAAAGTGTTATAAATTGCGTATTACCTATTATTTACCTATTTTTTTAGTAATTTATTATTAACAACTTCATTTTAATTGTTTTCATTATAAAAAATGGACTTTTTATATTCATAATTTTATCTCTCAAAAATCGTTTACTTGTGACTATTCAATATTCTTATAAAAACGTTTATATGGTCAAATATATTTTGAATTTGATAAATGCTTAACAAGTGATTGAAGGAACAAAAGAATGGATTATAAAAATGATTAGTTACCGTGTTATAAATTGCGTATTTCACAGTCTCATTGAATGCTAACTTTAAGTGGTCCCAAGTAGAAATTATAAGAAAACAAACCTCGTAGGTGCTATTTGTTTAGATATAGAGGTGTGAGCATCTTTTTATTGAAAAACGTAGTTTTGTGAAGAGAGAAATGCGTAACAAAGGGTAATTTTTAACAGAAATTTTATGCTGTCCATTTTCAAAAAAATTAACTAAACATTTATAAATTATAAAACTCAGTTAAAATTGAAGAAACGGACTTGTAGATGGTGGATGATAAAGAGCCCAGTCTCTGGAATTGGGGAACAGTTTCTGGGAGAAGATCCCAACCCTTTTGCTCCACAGTAAGGTCTTCTCCACAATTCTTCGTTTTCTTTTCCACTGTTAACACATTCATTATTTTCGTCCTCTTTTTCTGTTTCTTCGTTCAACTTGTACCACCAAACATTGTTTCTTCTTCTCTCCTCGATTCGATTCGTTTAGATTCTTTTTCGCTCGCTTTGCTGAAGAGTCTGGTAAATAATATTTTTTTCTTCTTTTCGTTTTATTACCACCTCTCGATTTCAATACCGGAACTATGAAAGTGAACTTTTTCTGTTTTAATTTACATCCGAATAAAAGCGGAGGCTATGTATTGTGTTTATTTATTATAATATATATCATCCAGGATCTTGTATTTGGGTTTTTGTTGTGTGAAATAGTAGTGGAGGTATTTTCCACTTAGGGCTACATGTAAAGCATGGTTTTGTGTGATTGTTACCTACTTCTCGAGCATGATAAATTCAATTAATTTTATCTGGGCTATACTTTACTTTCTTTTGTTTTTATTGCAGGGGGTTTTGTTCGCAAGAGGCTGCTTTGGTGTTTCTTCATTCTCATAACTGCGTGAGTTTAGATTTGAGTTCCAGAATGTATTGTAAAGATTGTTTGTTGATTCTTGAATGCTGAAATCGAATTTTAAAGCCAATGCAATTTTGAATATGTATACTTGTGCGTGCGTGCGTGCATATATATACATACAGATAACCTTTGTGTTTCTTATACATGAGCAGTTAAATTTTAGCGGGTCAAAATTTCCTTGGGAAAGTTGCTCTTGTAATGGATATAATCTCTCAGTTACAAGAACAGGTTAACTTGACAGCGCATTTAGCTTTTAATACTCTTGGTACATTGCAAAGGGATGCCCCTCCTAATAGGCTATCGCCAAATTATCCTGAACCACCCGCGCATCCAACGGAGGATGGGGCAAATTTTTCTGAACAGCCAAAGCAGATGAGTGCTGCTTTGGTGAAGGCTGCTAAGCAGGTATGTGGCATTTTAGTTAAAAGTGAAAAGGTGTATAGTATATGATACTGAGTTGTTCTATCTTACGCCGGTGATGAGAGGTTGTAGTTTGTTACTACCAGACTATGAAGCCAATCCATGCCTCAAAGAACACAACACACTAGACATATATTGCAAAATAAAATTATATTCTAAGGATTGTTAAAATGAAGTATAAAATCGTTAGCAGCCCAGCAAGTATAAGAAAATATATCAAAGATAAATATGTTTAGAAACTTTCTAAGAAGTTTCAAATATGGAAATATAGAATTCATATATCTTAAAGAATACTGCTCAAATGTGGTGAAGTGCTAATGCTTATTACGTTTTGAGTAATTCAGTTGAAAATGGGGAACCCTTGGAAGGTGATTCAGCACCTTGGTTTTTTCACAGAACAACAGAATTCTTTCATTCTTTCTGTCATATTCTCTCATCTTTCTTCTCTATGACCAATCTTAACAATTGTAAATAAACAAGGTGTTGTATCCAGTATTCCAGTTGCATGGTTCTTTTAGAGGATAACATGCACGGTGCCAGTTTAGAAATTTTAAACCAATATTGACCATATGCATATAACCAAGTTAAACAATTAGTCTAGCCTATATATTTACTGTTTTGTCACACTTGTACCTCATTATGTATCATGCCTTATGTCTTCTATATTGAACTAATAATTTTATTAGTTCGCTCATGAGTGGCCCATTGAAAATATATCTGTGGTTTCTTCTGCAGTTTGATGCTTTGGTTGCAGCGCTTCCAATATCTGAGTCAGGTGAAGAAGCACAGCTTAAGAGGATTGCTGAACTACAAGTATGGAAATTAGAGCTCACCGACTATTCTTTATATGTGATTGACTGGTGTAGTTAATAATGAGTAGTCTAATTGTAACAAATAGTGTTTATGATTTTACATTGTTTCTGGATCTACCTTTCAGGCTGAAAATGATGCAGTAGGCCAAGAACTTCAGAAGCAATTGGAAGCTGCAGGTCTGTGTGCAGATTCCTGTTTATCTCTGAAGTCTGAACTTCTATCTTGATTTCTCTTTACAACACATGAAAGGGTAAATCCGGGTTAAATTGCTAAAATAAATTTTGTTAAGTTCTTGGATCAGTACTTTGAAAAAGATGTCCTGGTGCATTATTTTCATGTGTAGCAAATATCAACATTGTGTTTAATTTGATAAAAACATCGGAAAATACCAAAGGGGTTTGTTCATGTATTAAGCAATTTTGTAGGCCTGTACAGCTGTAGTAATTTGGTAACGGCTGACATTCATCTGTGACTGGCTCTGTATGGATTCATATTGAAACCAAGTTCCTAAAAGTAACGGGAGTTGTATTGTGCGTTCACTTACTGTTCGTACTGAAAATGCAAAAATTTTAAAATTATAAATTATTTATGCTTTTATGGACTGTAGGATGTTAAGAAAGTATGTCACTGCCTAACACTCTGTTCTTGATGTCAGAGAAGGAATTAAATCAGGTTCAGGATCTGTTTAGGCAAGCATCAGATAATTGTTTGAACTTGAAGAAACCAGATGTCAATTAGTTACTTGTGTTCCTGGCAAGGTCAGAGACGAATTAGGCTACAACTTAGAACTATCTTATCTTGACACAAAGCGGTGCCTGCTGCAGGAGGATTTTCCTTATTTGCATGAAGTCTTGGCTGCCTGAAATAGCAGTATTATTTCATATGTTGTAACTTGTGCATGACACATACGTTTGCAGAATCTGCGTAACGGTCAAGATAGTGGTAATTATATTGTTCCTCCCGAAGGAAAGGCTTATATTCATGTTAGGTGTTTTCATTAATACCATCTTTGTTCACGTAAGTTCCACAAAGTAGACATTTTGTAGTGTGATAATTTGTGAGTGAGTGTAATTGTGTGATTTAAGTATCATATACTGAGTAAAGTCATGCATAAAAAAGAAGAAACTTAGAACATATTAGTACTTGATATGTTGCCTAAACATCAATTGCTCCAATTGTTTGAAACTTGCATGCATAACTGGTGACATTTATTATCTGTTGTTGCTGTTAAAATACGATCTAAAAAATAAAAAATAAAACGTATGAGTTAGGTCATGGATTCAATTTTCTTCTATTTTAAATAAATATTTTAATCACTTGTACAGAAGAATTTGTTTGGCATATTTCATTGTAATATTGGCTTGTTTGGGGTGAAGGGTATAGTAAGCTCTGTTGCATAGTAAGGCATATTTTATTTTCCTTCATTAGATGAGAGTGCTTTTAATAGCAAGCACTCTTCGATCTAGTTCAAAGAAAGGAAAATGAAGCGTTATATAAACATAGAGGCATACTCTAAACATTTCATGAATGTTGTACCGCCCGAATATAGTTCCAAATCTTTTTAAACATAATTTAATTGATTTCAAAACAAGCATTTTATTGATAAATAGCAATTATTCATTTTTCAATAAATAGAGAAAAAGGGATTCTTGTTGTTGGATATCTTCCCCGGAGTGTGATATACCTCGCAATCCATGTTAATCACTCCTATTATCAGAAATTCTTGGCCAACTATTAAGCCACTGCACCTGATAGGAAATGAAAGCTACCACCCATTCTTGTAATGAATGGAAGGAGCAGGGGTGTGATAACTGATCGGTGAGCTCAAACCTTTTACATGAAATGAGTGAATATTGTTTCACTTCGTTTTTTTTTTCTTGAAAGGAGGGTGTTACCATATAAAACTCATTTCTTCCAGTAAACGAATATTAACTTGTAGCATGCCACAGATCATGAGCGAGGTTATCCTATATTTAACATCATAATTCACGGGAAGTCAAAGTGGCCTAATCTGTAAAATGTATCGTTAAGATGTTCCATGAAGCTGTTTTGTCCAACCAAAAAGATCCCACTCTTTGGAAAAGCTAGCAACTGCTTGCTTTTGTACCTCCACTGCCTCATACCGTCGACGCCTATACATGTCCTCCGCTGCCAAATGTAGCATGCCTCTTATTACATTCAAGCCATGGCTGCTCTTGAATTGCTTTTCATCATCAATAACATGGACAAAACCCTTGTTTAGACCAAATTCAACGTGGAAATACGGAAAGTGCTTGGGAATTCGCAATCCCTTTTGACTTGTATCAATAAGTTTCTTCGCATTGTGCTGGCTCAACTCATCTTCAGCTTCATGAAACCAGAAGAATATGTTTCGTAGGCAATAAATAAACTCAATAGACTAGGCTATTCCCACCTCCTCCCAAAGTAATATAAAATAAAAGCAATAGGCAAAGGCAGATGTTGTTCTCTTACAAGGCTAGAAATTTTTCAACTACTCCCCAGTTTCTTACCATCTTCTCACAAATCACCCTCCCGAGAAAAGGTATAGATAACATGAAAAAGAAGTCCAGAAAGAGTAAAATGTATAATTTCAGCACAAGTGATAAACCAAGATGTCACAGAAAATTTTATAAACAATAACGAATATTGATGAAAAGTAAATTTGTCAATGCTGGATGGTCTGGAGAAACCCTGGATGCATTTATAATTCATTAATCATTATAGACTTTTCAAGGCACCTGAACCAGAGAAACCTGGTTTGTCCTAATTCTGGATTAAGGGTCAAAATCACATACATTGAAAAACTTATCTGAAAAAACAGTTTGAACATTATGCCAAATTCAATACTGAACAGGTGCACAAAATGGTTAAGAAAAACAAACCATGGTGCATTAGTTTCGAGCTTAAAAAATTGATAAGAGGCAAACAAAGTCAGAAAGTCTAAAAAAGACGGCATATTCTCTTATTTTTATGGACTTACTATCAGTTTTTCAGCTTCTTGATATAATAATATGTTTTTTTAATCACTGAACTGTAATATTAATCAAGGTTCATAAAATAAGTTGAGTCAACTAAACATGATTTTGAAGATTTTTTCCCTGACTATGCAAATCTTGTGGTACAAATAATCAGATTCGAATTATTGTGTAGGCGAACGACCAAACTAATTTAGGAGTTTGTATGTGCACGGAAGAATATCAAAGATGGTGCATTATCAAAGTTCAAACTCATCTCTCTATACCGAAGGAACTCCACCAAAATTCTTCATGTTATCTGGTTCAGTCTGCTAGTGAATGATTTTAGGTCATTTTATGTATTTGAAGTCATTTTATTTGTTTAACCTTGTTAAGTTCAACCTGTGTGTGAATGCATTTCACATTCCGACCAAAATTGATTTTGCTTAAGCATATTTGACAAACTGCTTTGGCATTGCATATTAATCTCCTGACGGAATTGATTAGTTCTGAGCTGGAGATTGTATTTTATGCCTTGGGTTGCTGAATATCTTGAGTGCTTATGATTGCAAAATCTGATAAGGGGACCAAGTCAATTCTACTGATTGCATGGGGTTACATGTGATTGTTGTTATCTGCTGAAGTGCTGATGAATTAATAATTGAAATACTGATCTTGTTATACAGATCTAGTAAGACTGGAGGCATGGACTTCTAATTGGAGGGGATTTTTAAGCATCCTCACAAAGTGGAGTATCAAGGTGGAATAAAGTTTTTGATAGTGAATTAACAGATAGTTTGACTGATATGGTGGCAGGAGGATGTAATTTAGCATGCTCAAATGTAACAAATAGTTTTGAGCCAAAAAGGTTATCATAAATAGTGAAAAAAGAAGAAGAAAGTTGTAGATACTAAAATGTTTCAAGGGGATAGACCACAGTTCAATTATTAGTATAAGTGCTTTTATTATGCTTCTGTGGAAAGAAGGAAAATTGGTTATATTTCACTCTGATATACTCCTGCAACTGGGAAGCGTAATCATAAATAACAAAAATGACATGTAAGTAGATGTTTACTGCGTCTAATGGTTTCAAGAAGACTCTGGCAAGAAAGTGAGTGGCCAGGCCTTTTTTCATATTCCCCAATCATGTAATGAAACTCAAAGCTTCCACTTGGTATGAATTTACTTCAACGTAGCTTTTGGGAATAGGATAAGGTTTCAAAGGAAACTTATCTTTGCTCTTACTTACCTGCAGGCTTTTTTCCTTTCTGGCTGTGAGAAATTCATAAATATGATGAATATTGACCCTTTCGAAAAATATAAAGGCAAAAAGAATTTGACAATAATGAGAATAGGCACGAAATTCAAGAGGTTCTGCATTTAATGCAAACCCGTAAATTGTGCACTTTCTTACCACGAAAAGTTGAGACTTGAGGGCTCCATATATTTATATTACATTTGCATAAATCTAATCTTCAGAAAAATAGTGTAATTATAGATGGTGTCTATTTTCCTCGCACACTCACATACATATGGCACTATTATTCAGTGTGTCTAATAAATAGATTGTACACTTTCTTATAACAGTAATTAAAATATTATCTAATCTTTCATTAAATATTGAATATGCCGTGTTATATGTTAATACAGGTAGAGGTAGATGCATGGACCGTGAGTCGTGACACAAAGACTAGTCCACATAACTTATAATCACTTGCAAGGGCTTCAACGAACAAAATTCTATTTTGATCTATTTTATTGATATTCTATGCACACTTTTACTCGTATAATCTGTGGAATTCAATGTGTTGGGGCCTGTGGACTTGTGCATTAATTGGTTAACTAATTAGCATACCAAAAAATTATTTTTTTTAAACTTCAGTGTGTATTTTCCAAGTAAACTAAGCAATAGTCATTTTGATTTGAGAACGGACTCACAAACTAGTCCAATTATTAAACTTATTTTTAAAGGATTTTTAGCACGAAAATCTGTATGTAAATGTGAACATATTCAAGCTGGTCCATTTATATTAACAAACAAGTAGCTGGTACAGTGATTAAGTACTAATATGGCACAAGATGATTCTAAACGAGTGATATACTTAATCATTAGAAAATTATGGGAGATCAATTGTTTTCATTTCCTCATTGTAGTTATCGATTTTTTTTAGCCATTATCTTAGTGAAATCCCAATTTTACAATGGGTTCAAGCTATGAGATTTTTCCAAGGGCTCTACTGTTCCCACCCTAACATTACGCCTCCAACAGCTCCACAACACTCTTTACTTTCTTGCAGTTACTCGTGAATGACATCCTTCTATAAAAAAAGTGCATTTGAACATAAGCCGAAAGGAATAAGGCTGTAAACGATTTTTTCCATTGGTAGTTTTCACCTTTAGATTGTCAAAAAGCACATTTTATGTTGTGGGTGGCAAGAAAACAAGCATACACAGGGAGAATAAAATTTTTATGTTGTGGAAAATTATTAAAATATTTTTTACTAATATACAATTTCTATGAAATAAAGGTGTTGCACAGTTGCAGTTACTCACATGAAAATACTGCAAAAAGAGAATATTGGATAGTTTGAAACCACACAAATGTGAGAATTTATGAGCACTTGATTAGGGATCGGATCATGGGTTGGGCTAAATCGTTCCGTTTGGGCCAATTCATTCTTATTTCTTGATGAGCTTAATATTGGTGACAAAAAAAAAATGTCGTCCAAAAAATTTGAAAAAATAAAACAATTATTTAATAAGTGGTTATAAAAAACAAAATAAAATAAATATAACTTCTTGCTCAAGTTAAAATTAATTAATATATAAAAAAATATAAATTATTCTTTTAATAGATTTATCTTTAAAATGTTTTACAGTTGAAAAGTTCTCATATTAAAATTTAACACGAGCTGAACTTTATGTGCAGCAAGTTAAGTACGGGGTCGTTCATTCAAAGTTTTTAAAATAACTTTAAAGATGTAGAAAAGGTAATATATGAAAATATATACATACAAATACAAAGATATTTGATTTAAGTTTATTTTAAAACATCTTTCAAGTAAAGTTATAAAAACCTTAATAATCGTCTAGTTAATTACAATGAAGCTGTTTGATGGCTAAGGTCAAGCTGGATGGACTCCTAAATGTTGATGAAAGAAAAAAACAAAGGTAACTAGGACAAGCAAGGAACATCTGGTGAAGTAGAAGAAGCGACTCCACGAGCATTGTGGCAGGAGGCATGAACGTTTGATCCTGATGAAGTTGAGGTTATGTTAATTGTATCCATGAAGATGTCAGTGCACCATACGCTCTGGCTGCAATTCAAAGTAATGGCAATCTCACTACCAGAAGTTCCATTGACATCCCGAAAATTCACGCCACTAATTTTAACTGCTGACACCTGTGTGATCATATTCCAAATATACACATTAAAATATCTCCCTATTCCAAAGTAGCAATATTGCCTATTGAGTCCATGACACAAGCAAGTGTAACCTGATTTTCGTCTTTATTCATTAAATCTTCATAATTCTGGTCAATAATTATAGGATTATTGGTATTTGTAAGTATGATTTGTTTGAACGTGATGTTTCTTGCATACCCGGATCCACCCTGCAGGAAGTGAAAATGGAATTAATTCCTGAATTAACGATATACTATTTATAAGTGAGAGTAGATATATGACTTTAAAACCCAAATTTGCAGAAAAATATGTATATAATTTTTATCTTCAAAACAATTTAGATGTGTACCGGCCATGTCTTTATTCTCATCCCATTTTCTGCTCCGTTGAAACTGCAATTGTTTACGTATACTTGTTCCACTATATCATAAGCTCCTTTTCCTCCAAGGCTTCCTACACTGAATACAGCCACAAGAAAGAGAGAATGAGACAGATTTTACCATTGAGAAATTCCATCAATTGACTCAGTTTTTCACGATGATAATGCTTTTATACCTTATACCATGACCTGGTCCACAAGTTACGCCAGTAATGTTAATATTTGTTGTACCATTGTTTATGGCAATGCAGTCATCACCTGCGGAAATAAAAGCTTTCGAATAATATATGAACTGGCACATATTGTCATTACTATACGGCCTTGAATGTCAAGAATGAGTGTGCATATTAATTTTCAATGACTCTTACCAGTTGAAATGATTGAATTCTGGATTAGAGTGTAGCTTGATTGAGCAATGTCAATTCCATCAGTGTTTGGGCTATCTTTAGGTGCAGTGATAGTGAGATTGAATAGCGTTGTGTAATTGCAATAATTTATGGATATATGATTTCTTGCACTATTGAGATGACGAGTCCCTTTTAGTTGCAGTTTGTTGCAGTTGTGAATATGCAGGGCCTGCATAATAAAATAAATGATTTATGCTGAAAAATTCCTGCCCATTATATACCACAAAAATTGTAGACGTAGCACTTTTCCCCCTTTTTCCAAAGAAATAAAAGCCACGGCATTGAATTATGATTAATCTGAAAAGTATTTAAAAAAATAAAAATCTTAATAATAAACAATTAATAATAGTCAATTTTTATTAAAAAAAGTATTAATTATACTTTTAATATGATCAATGGGTTATTTTTTAATAATATATATTTTTACTTTTAAATGCTTGAATTTGGTTCTAAAGAATGAGTTTAACAAAATCTTAAGAGAACAGATGTTTAAAGAGAGATTCTCATTCATATTTTATGTTCTTTGTTCTTCATATAGTGCTCGGCTGAATTGAGGTTGATCAAGATCATGAACTAAATAAGTATAATTCCCTCATCTGCTTTTACTCAATTAGAAAGCTATCTGCCAAGTGCACGTGTGCTGTTTTCTAATTGCATGCAGGCATAAGAGAAAGAGACGTGTGTAAATATATATCTTACAGTTGGTCTTAGGCAGCTTGTCACCTGAAAATAAATATATATACAAATTAAAAATTCAAGTTATGATCCAAGATTCTGACTTTTAAATGCAAAAATACAATGAAAAAAAAAAACCCACGTTACAATCTTTCCACCAAACAGAACCCCAGCCGTCGATTTGTCCACCTCCATCGATTTGAAGGCCATCCACGTTGGAAATTTCAATCCATCTGCTAGGGTCCTTGTCCTTCCATGCTTCGGTGCTATTTGGTGCAACAATATTTCCTTCAAGCTTTTATATCAATTAAATCAAAGATTATTAGCAATGAAAATAAATATATCAATTAAATCAAATATATTAGCAATGAAAATGCATATATCAAATGACTCCTGCTTATATAATATTAAGAGAAAAGTTGTGTGACGATAAATTGATCTATTAGTATTCACTGATAATGTTTGGTTTTAAGATAATTTTTATAAACTGCCGGAATATAAGTTGAGTGTACGTTTCCAAGCTAATAAAATCATATTAAATCACATATTTGATACAAATCCAAACATGCTATTAACTTGTATCCTTTTGCCTACTATTACGGACGAAATTATACTATGCATGAACTGTTGGATTAAATAAATTGGTGAGCTAAGTTTTGTCACTGTATGTATTGTAGTACATTAGAAATTTAAAAAAAGTTAGAACCATTGGAAAGTATTATCCCTTGAATCTATGCGCCTCACCTGTTGATCCTCAATATACAGAAGAGAAATTGCATGAGGATAGTATTTTTTGCATCTCTATTCATCATATATGCAGACGTGTACAGTTTTACCTGAAAATGAATCGGAGAGGAATTGCAGGGGCCACTAAATTTTAGAGGATTCAACTTGAAAGTTTTCCCGGGTGGCACCTCAAGGGTTGGAGCACCATTTTTCATCCCACAAACATTACTCCAAGCTGTCAGAAAAGCCTTGTATAGCATATGATCATCCCGCACATACAAATGTAACAAGAAGCAAAATTTGATAGTGAAATTAGATAAGTTAATATAGTATTCGTAGTCAAATAAATAAAATAAAATTTATTCAATTCTATACAAAAGTAAATAACAAAAAAGTTTAACAATAGTTTACTTGAGAATCATCTGTGAAGCTATCTCCAACAGCACCGTAGTCCATTACATTGAATGAGGCAGTATTTTTAGCATCTTCTAATAGTTTGTTACATGAACAACGTGAAATAAACATAAAGAAAGTGGCAACCAAAACTTGCATGATGATACTGAGGGAAGCCATGGTAGAAAATATGATTAACTAATATTTCTAGTGTGGTGTGCTTATTTATACTAGAAAGGATGAGTGTGTGCCTACATAGAAGTAGATAAATATATGTAAGAATGTCCATTTTAACTTTTCTCGTAAATGGGATGAGAGAATTGTTAATACAAATTAATGGGGTGAATTTGTTTTGCGGTAATAAATTTCTTTAATGGGTAAAAATTAATGGTATTCATAGTAATAAATCATTTTTATGGGTCCAAATCAATGGAATTCAACATTTGAAAAATTGGAAAAAAACTTTGAAATTAATGGTATTCATGGTAATAAATTATTAGTGCGTTACACAGATTAAAATGTCTTATATTGATTAAGAATCTCGTCAAAATATATGTTACAAAACTTGGACAATTTTTATTTTTTAAAGTAACTTTTAGAGGTTAAACTTTTTGAATTTTTAATATATGGAGTATTGATTTTGACATCAAATTCACTTAAAAGTAAATTCATTCTAAGTTTATAAATTATTATTTTTACCTCAACATTTAGTTTAACGTGATTTTATAGTAAACTTTAACCGAATGTGCTTTATAAATAAATATGCATAGTCAATGATATAAAAGTGTATATTCATTGAGCAAGTTTATGGAATGCTTGATTTTGTAAACTATATTTTTTTTATGTAGTTTGTATATTTTTCATCTTATTTAACTTTTTTTTAACTCTTTGGATTACATCAATCTTAAAATACAATATATAATTAATAATTAATTATACGTTATAAAACACAAGTTTGTCAATATTGTTTGAGATTTTATAATATTTTAATGATTTTTTAATTATGTCAATACAGTAACTATTGATTGATTTTAACAACAATCTGATTTATAAAATTGTGGGTTAAGTGTTTTTTTAATTTCTAAGATGTTTTATATCTTATCTCACATTTATTATTAAAAATTTGAATATATTTTGTGAATAATCTGAATAATGGTCGGAAGAGTTAACCTAAAATTTATATGATGGATACTTTTAAAAAGTTTAGCATAGCTGAAGAACAGATGCAAGGTTCCAATAGCTTTATGCCTGGAAAAAGCAGTTAATCCATAAACTTATCTAGCTAATGCATATGAAGTTTATCTGACTATTTCCTTAATTACTTGAGTGCATGCGGTTCTATCTTATTTCAAGAATCCTGTACTGGTGTTTGGCTTGAAAGAAAAATGTTTAATTTGCGGAAAAAGAACCAAACACAGGAATCCAAAATTGCTTCATGGAACATCTAAATGAAGATGAATAGCTTTTTATAACTGAACTATGAATAATGACACTCTTCTAAACGTTATATTCCACTCCAAATATTTAGCTCTCAAATTCTATTCTTGATTCATTTATTTACCTTTCTTCAATACTTTTCAATAAGCATTTATTGCAGCTTAAAATATATATTTATTTTACTCGTTATTATACAAGATACCAAGTTATATACATTAAACTTTATGGCATTTAATATTGTTAATGTGTTAAATTGTATTGAATTCTATAATTTTTAATCAAAATTTGTTATATATAATTTTTTTATCCTGTGCAACATTGTACAAATTAAAAAAAATAATAATAAAACAATCTATTTTCTTTAACTGATCACTGTAAGATTCCTAAATTTGATGGCTGTGCATTTATGAATTATTAACCTAATTTTATTTTATAGTAACCTAATTTTATTTTGTTTATGTCAAAGCAGTAAGCTAATCCTTGTGTTAATATTTTCTCAAGCAGCTCCCCACCCTATTTTGAGACAAGTTGACATAAACCCATTTGTCCTTCAAGCAAGATAATATTCATTAACCAAAATACAAGTAAAATAATATTTCATTTAATGAACTTGTTTTGATTATAGACTAGTCCAGACTAATCTTCAAGCCACTTAAACCTAACGCCATACATATTTGTAATTTGCTCAACTTATTGTATTACATATACATTCAGAGTTTATATATATAAAACATTGTACAATATTAAGCTTACAAAATAGGACCTGCTATGCTTAAAATGCAACATACCAATGCTTTGAATGAGTCTCCTATTACTTAAACCCAATTTAAATAACTTAATTACTTTTTCAAAAAAAAGAAGAAAACAGCACAGTACTCCTATTATTTCTCATTTGGATTTATTCAAATCTAGGGTCATGTTTTAACTTTTTTAGAGCTATAAAAGACTGGCTTTAACTCAACACAAATACAACTTAATACATAAACACAAAATTATTAAAAATCTATATAAAAAATTGTTAACTGAAATAAGAACTATTCTTTTAATAAATTTTAAAATAATAATAAAAGATTAAAAACATGTTAAAAAGTATATTACTCGCACCAATATAATCGCATAATATACAATTTAAATGATAATATTAATCGGTAATACATTTGTTGCGCATTAAATTACAGAAATTACATAGGTAAGATCATTATTCAGCAGCAGGCAAATTACTAACCATTTATTTGCTAAAAGCAACAATTATTAAATAGTTATCAGGTTTTAGCTACACAGCAACTGCCAATAACATTTTGCCTGTTCTTGTGTCTTTTTTTTATTAGTAATACTAGATTCAACTTGAGCATTACATTTGCGACAAATACAACAAAAAGGAGATGTACAATTTCTATCCAAAACTAAAAATACTTAAGGAGAGATTTTAAAACGCATTGAGCATGACATTTCTCATGGTATTCATCAATGTCAACAAACATAAAGGAAAAGATAATCACAGGTGAATACCCCTACCAGAATAATCAACTTCAAAATTTTAAACTGCAAAAGGAAATACATTAACCCTAGTTGTATTGGACCGGGACCCACATATTCCAAGCCAGAGGATAAATTACAAAATAAACTAGCATGCACAATTAAAAAAATATGGGCCAAAATCAAGCATCTGCAATGGTCACCTCAACCTCCACACCAGGTTCAATTGTGATTGAAGTAATCTGCTTAACCACATCGGGGGAACTGTAGAGATCAATGACTCTCTTGTGCACGCGCAGCTCAAACGTGTCCCATGTGTTGGTGCCTAAAACAAGAAGCAGAATATGAAGACAAGGCAGGTTACAATTAAATCCAAATGAAGAAAACAATCCAAAATACACCTAGCCCTTGAATAGATCAGGACAATTACAATACCTAAGACTAAAACAAAACAACATTGTTATTATATTATAAGCATGTTGGTTACCTCAATAACATAGATTAAACCCTCATTTTGGTCCCTTAGATAATTAGGATAGAATATTTTAGTCTCTAAAAAATATTTAAAATATCACTTTATTAAGCATATTTAAATTAGTCTCTGACTTCCATATTCATTAAGCATTTTAGTCCCTAAACTCCAACATTGTTAGCAGACAGTAACAGTGAGAAGATTGAGTTGGTGTATCGTTTTACATAGTTTCTCCTTTTCTTGCCCAAAAACCCTAATTTCTCTCATGAATAGGCACCCAAGCCCAAACTCAAGAATCCTCTTGATCTTCTCCCTCCAAGTACGATGATATTGGATGATTGGAAAAGAATCTACTCAAACACTAAAACCAACTTCAAACAGGTTGCAATTAAAGGTATTGTTATTATGACCCTGGGGACATGCATGATCCTGAGGGATACGCTCTCTGGTTCTGTGATTATATAAATACAATGATGAGAACACTGTTTCCTTTGTGACATTGAACAAGGTTAATGGATTTCTTCAGCAGATGGATTTGGCCCACAAGTATGCATTTGGAAAGATGCTTGTGATTGAAGCAGAACAACCATTTAAAGTGAAGGGGTTGTGGAAATTTGTGATTGATGAATGCTATGACACATAACTCTATAAATGGACCAAGATTGATATCTCAGTCGAAGCTCAAAAGGAGCGTGTCTATCAGATGATTGAAGATTGTGAACTCTTTGAGGGTGAAGCCCTTTTGGATGCCAACTTAGGATTTGGAGAAAATTTAGAGTTCTACATGAGAGAAAAGAGAAACTATATAAAACGACCGGATATGCCAACTAAGTCTTCCCACATGTCATTTACAACATTCTATTACCGTGTCTGAATTTAGAGACTAAAATGCTCAACAAAAATAAAAGTCAAGTATTAACGTGACAATTTTAATACTAAAATGCTAGATGCTAATTATCTGAGAGACTAAAATAGGATTTAGTCTAATGACATATATCTAAAATCTCCAAAACGAGGGTTAAGTCTAATGACATATATCTAAAATCACCAAGAAACAATCGAATATTGTCACTAAAATAAAGGTGCAACCAAATTTAAAACATAAAAGTATAGATGGAAAGACATAAGAGCAAAATAGCCACAATGTGCACTCACTAAATAACTTTTAATTTATAGAAATACAGAGAATACATCAAATGTCAAAATAAAATTACGAAACTATATTTCTGACTAGGATCTAGCATGTAAGTAAATCACATACAAGAGCCAATTTAAACTAAAATTACCTTCACCGCATGGGGATTTCCTGGTGGTGATGTGAAGAACTTTGGTGGGCATCCTAACAGGTCCCTTGACCCTGAGATGCTTGTCCTTGGCACCACGAATCAGGTCGGCACAAACTATCAGTAAGAAAATATAATAATAAAAAGGTTTAAAATAATTAAAAGCTACGATTAGGGTGAAGAAGGAGAAAAGATGAGTATTGAATGATAGAAAAGAGTAGAGTTAGATACCCTTTTCGAGATTTTTGACGTTCTTAGAGGAAAGAGTGATCCTAATCTTATGGATCTGCTCCTGAGACTCCTCCAAACCAGGCTTAGTGGGTTTCATTGCTGCGTATTGCATTGTTTCGTCAAAGCAATTACGGTCCCCGCTGCAGACAAAATTAACAATACAAAGGGAATAAGAAGGAATAGAGAATTTGAGGAAGAATGGGGGGTGACGATGAAAATGATTGATTGATAGATACCTTCGGTATTGAGAATTGGAAGCTGGAAGCAAAATGCCGCTGTGTAGTTTGGGGACGACGAAAGCAGGGTTTATATCATTCTTCTTATAGTTTTTCGTCACCCCAAGAAATGGGCCGCCAAAAAATATTGCACTCTTTAAGATGAAAATTTTATTACTAACGGATAAAAAGGGCCATTTATTATTAAAATTTAGTTTATTTTATTTTAAAATTATCAATTATTTTATCAAAATTTAAAATCAATTATTTACCATTTTAATATTATTGTTACTAATAAATCATAATTTAAACTTATTTTGTATGTATTATGATAAATATGATTATTAATATGGTTTTGTTCCTGGAAATGAGTTTAAATATCCATAAATACCAAAATTTTATTTAAAAAATATTCATTATAATTTTATAAATTTAATATAATAAATACATATTTTTTATTAAAAAAATTATTTATAAATATTTAAACTCAACTTTAAAGATAAAAGTTAACAAAACCTTTATTAATAATATATTACCATTTAAGGTAAGTTATATTTATTACTTTTATTTTTATTATATTTATTGCATTTTTATGATTTATTTATGCCTTTTGTTGTAGTAAAAAACCTAAAACTTCAATTCAATTTAAAGTGGTTTAGGAATATTCGATTGAAATCAATTTTAATTCAATTTCCTGATTCAATTTTAATCCGACTAGGATCATTTTAATTCACATGACCCCAATTTCATATAGCATAGAATATGATCACTTGTTTCTCCCCTCTCTTACCAACAAGTGAGCATAATACCTTGTTTACGCAAGAGAGGTCAATGATGAAGCAAGAGTTGTCGGGCCATTGAGGAGTCAAAGAAGATGAGGTTAGAAGAGATGTAGAATCTTAAGAGGGAGAACGGTTAAAGGACATCACCGCCATTTCTTTCACTATTGCCAGCATTGTTTATTTCATTTATAAAATGACAAAGTAAAACCCAATGTGTAAAATACAGGTATTCGAAAATTGTCTTATTGGGAACGACAATAAGAGCAAAACAAAATATGAAAATGGGAATTGCTTATGAATCAAAATACTGGCTAAACCAACTTCGCAAACCAATAAGCACATAACAAGGGGGCAAGGTGTATAACAAGGGAGAAAGAAGTGATTATGTTCTCTGTTAGATGCAATGTACTGTGATTCTTGTTTTAGTTAAAACTAATGTGTAATTGATTCTAATCCAAAAATTATTATTATCATTTCTCATGAAACAAGTGCCCCTACATGACATGTCTCCTATGTAGTAGATTATATCATGAATTTTGAATCTATCATCACCAAGTCACAAGATATCCCCTGTAGTCTCAATTTATTCTGACAGTTTTTGTTTATATTTCTAAAGTTAATGGTAAAAACACAAACTAATTATTTGCAAATAAATTTTCCATAGATTATCCGAACAAGGTTTATATTTCTTCTCTATAAAGAGATATTACAGCTTTAAAATCAGTATTTAATTGGCTTCTATTACAGAAAAAAGAGAAAAATGTTTTAACTCTAAGCCCCTGGTCAGATGTTTCGTAATAAGTTTTACATATATAGAACTGAACTACATAACATACAGTTGATATGACTAATGCAAAACACTAGAGGATGCAATTTTGAAGAAAACACAAGCACTCAACGATGGGTGCCATCTCCATCATCCTCAATCTCTTCTGCATCCTCAAATCGTTGGTCATTGATTTGAAGCTGCAATAAATTAAACTGAGTATTAACAAGGGAGCATAGAGAAAACAAATAATACAAACTGGAAAACAACTTCTAAAGGTGACACCTATAGAAAGAATAAGGGTGATAGATAGGTGATCTACTGATCTAGAGCCATTAATTTACAGTGTACAAGGGTGGCACGGAGCTGATCTACAATCTAAAACCAATCGGCTCCCCCCACCCCCAAAAAAGCACAACTCCAAATGAGCACAAAATAATTGAATTCCAGGCAAGAATTCATTCAAACTTCACAAGTCACAAGAATAGATAAGGTTTGGGGTACTGTGCATTGTCTGTACAAGCATTAATGCATCAAGAATGTTCACATCAACAACAACCATTGATAAAAATATTGTATAAATATAAAATATGCTTCAACCTGTTAATACACTGCTTTTAAATTGTTATCATTTTCAGTAAATATATATTTATTAACTCAGAATAATATTCCAGTTTGTTATCTTATTACCATAAAACTTGAAATTGAGAGTTTAAAAATAAATGCAATAAAAAAAAAAGTATGCATATGATATGTTCCATCAGAACATATTGAAATTATCATAAACTTGATCATATCCAAACAAATTCTTTTTGCAGCAAGAAACTGCTTACAGTTGAACCTATGGCCTCCATGTCACTCTGAAGTGTCACAAATGAGAAGTACAAAATTCTTATAGAAAGTGGAAAACAAAAATGAAGTTGAAGAACTTCCAATACATTTACATTAACACGAGCATAAGACACCGTCACTAACAATTAGAATAAAGCCTGAGGAAGATACCTAGCTACCTTGTTTTTTATTTGTGACTAGCATCTTAATAACTTACACATTTGTTCCCTACTTCTACTTTTCCTTGCGCCCCCCCCCCCCTTCCAAAAAAAAAAAACACATTTCTAGCTCAACAGCATATCGATAAAATGAAAAAACAACCAAAACGAAAATAGAGCACACAAAAATAATTTAGAGAAATAAAGCAGCGAAAAGATCCACATGTACAAAGCAATGGTAAGGGACAGGGTCTCTCAGAGTAACCGAAACTTAAACTACACATCAGAGTGTCAAACTGCACAAACAGAAGTAGATAGAGAATTGCAAGGAAGAACACTACCTCAAGCACCGTACGAGCTATGTCATGATCTCCATTTGAGTGACCAATAGAGTTGCCTGGATTGTGAGGGATGTAACCTTCCTCCTCTGGGTACCAAAAAAATAAAAATGACAATAGGTTTAATTTAACAATGATACAGTTTGTGGAACAAAACAATAAGAATAAGGCTATGAATGTGAGGAAACAAGTTCAATGTCGCAGATATACCTGCTTCTTCATCTTCCATCTGATCAGTGCCGAAAACCCAATCATGTTCTTCTCCTTCCTCTAAGAGAACAACAAAACTCAGGAAAAAGAAAAAAACAGGGTGTGGAAAAGGGTATCAGTGAGGGGAAAAAGAAATAACACTCACCATCATTTGGTTCAGGATTAAGCTCTGCACCCTCACAAAATATTTCAAAGAGAGTGTCCACTGGAAAACAATAAGGTGACACATAAACAAAACTGGAAGTAACAAAAACAAGCATAATGCAAACAGTGGTGAAGATAAGAAAAAAAAAATACATTGAGCAGGATCAGTAGGAACAAGCCTCATCTCTCTAATGCTGGATAAATCCTGTTGTACATGATTGAATTCCGAATCAGAGTTGTCGGAATCATGATCCTCATCTGCTTCCGTATCAATCTACAGGAAGAAACGGAACGAATGAGAATGATGAAAGGGAAAGAGAAAGAAATAAGCAAAACAGAGAATAACGTGCCTGGGTATATAAACAAGGAACAGGGTAGGCATCAGGGTCTCTAGAGACAGCATGGAGAGAGATAGATAAAAAATCAACGGCATATCCTTTAGTCTTGTCTGCATCGCCTACCCATATGACTTGCCTGAAAGAACAAAGTGAGAACAGAAGGAACGAATAGCAGAAGAAGAATAGAAATGGGGAAAGGAGAGGGTACTTGGTAGTGATATAGAGCGTGCCATGGGACTCGCGAGGAAGATTACCAAGCACTATGTCTACTCCGTGTAGCACACGCATCAACTCTTCTCCATTCTCGCTGTCAAGGACTGGCTCTCCGCTTATCTCTCTCACTTCTAATCCCATTTCAATTTTCTGCTTCTGCTTAGTCTTTCTCTATTCTAGGGTTTTGGTTTTCAAGGGGTTTGGTTTCAGTTCGGAAGTCAAATCTTTTTATATAAAATTCAAACATGAAAGGAATAATTATAAATCCTCTTCGTGTTATAATTTTGTAATTATTAAATATTTTATATTTTTCTGAGTTAAAATTTATTTAAAAATATAAAAATAATTAATCTTATTTTTAAATTAATACATTTTTCTCTTATTTTTAATTTTTAATAAATTTAAACTAATTAATAAGAGTGTATTACAAATATTATTTTAATTTTATTTAATATTTATTTTATAAAGTTTTAAAATATTAAAAAAATCATAAGAATGAAAGAGCGATGATTAAAGTGAGGAAGTGAATTATATACTAAAAAAATTAGTAAAATAATATGATAATAGATTTTAAAAGTTACGAAATTTATTTTTTAATATGTAAGTTAAGAATTTTAAAATATTAAATATTTAAAAAATATTTTTATTAATTCTGTTCTTTTAAATTCACTTTTTTTCATTTTATTTTCTAAAGTATTTTTTTATGTTTTCAACAATTAGTTTAATCAATTCTTTGACTATAATTGAAATTTAAAATTAAAAGTTTAAAAAATTAAACGAAATTAAATAATTTTTGGTATAATGTTGTAGATGTTTTGTTTAATTTTTGTTTATTTTACTTTAATTATTCTTTATTTTCTCTATAATATTTCTCTTATTATATGTAAATATGTTTTCTAAATCTAATAATATAAATAATTACATACTCTCTATATTATCATACTTTTAATAGATAAAAATAATTAAATTTAAAAATGTTATATATTTATTTTAATTTTTTTTATTGACAAATAACTTAGTTAAATCAGAATAAGAAATGATAACTAAAATTATGTAGTTAAATTCTGAAAAAATAAGAAAAATATTATATATAAATTTTTTTTAAGTCATACAATGTTCACTTAAATTAAATTTTATATAATAATTGTCATACAAAATTTTATCAAATTCTGTTTAAGCTATTATTTTTTAGTTAAACTAAAATTGTAAGATTTATCTATTTGTACAACTTATTTAAGTTAGGTAAATTTTATTTAAGCTAATAATTATCGCTTAGGTGACATTCATTAAATAAATTTTTTTTTTGTAATTTTGCTTAAATAAAGTTAAAATGGCTTATGTAAATTTTACTGATACTGTGCTACAGCTAGTGTATAGTAATAAGGAAAGCAGTAGAAAATTTAAGATGATATTGAACAATCTATCAATACAAAATTTAATTTTTATAATTAATTGAAATTATAAGAGTAAATTTAAAATTTTTAATTCTAAAAATTATAAACTGCATATATAAGAATTTATAAAGAACTCTAAAAATTTAAAATAATATTTAATATTCTATTAATTCAATAATTATTTTTTATTATAAATTGAAATTATATTAGTACATGTAAAATTATATTTCTTAAAATTATCACTTAAATTTTAAAAAAATCTATAAAGATTTTAAGTAACAAATTTTAAAGGTCTAAAGAGTAATTTTATAAATTTTAATAGAAGATTAAATTATAAATATATAAAATTTGATATTATTAAATAAAGATATAATACTTTAATCGTTAATTTTTTAAAATATATATAACAATTTAAACACGTTAATTCGCTCATACACCATTTAATTGCTTACTCACTTTAGCTTGAAATAGACAAAAGGTCTATATGATACTTATTTGTGATGGGGTATACAGGATAGTAAATAATCGATTCATGTGAGGCTAGACAACAAGATATTATAATTTAAAGTATGAGATTTAGAAGTTTATATGAATTTTAGTTCTTTATAGTTAATTTTTTTAAAATACAATCTTTGTAATTATTTTGCTTTACAAAAACAAAGTAAAATTTTATAAATAAATAAATCTAATAAAATACTTTATTTTTAAAATGAAAATAGAAATAACAAAATTTTAGTTTATCAAATAATGTCGGTTGAATAAATCACAAATGTGACTCCATCAATCAAATATAATTCTTCAAAATATTATTTATTATAATTTTTTTATAATGTTTTAACAGTGACTCTTCACTCTCTTTTTATGATATTCAAAATTATTTCATTAACTGAGTTAATTAATTTCTCTAATGAGTTTATTTGTATATGTCAAATCACTATAATTAATTTTTTTTATTCTTTTTAATAGATGTGATTTCAGTATTTTTTTTTTCAAATACATTTATTTTTTATAACATTATTTCTCACATGCACAATTTAATTCAAACGAAGGAATGAGAGAAAAGTTAACAGAGGGGAAGAAAAATATTTTAATGAAAAGGAGATATACTTCATTTGCTTCACAATAAAATGAGAGATAAAATAAAAAAAATGTGCTGGTATATAGTTAAAACGATTAAATAGTTACAAAATTTATCTTTCCTCTAAATCTCCCATTTTTGGATTAGGTGAGAAGCTAGGTAGTTCAAAAATCGTTTGAATCTATGAAGAACCAAAAAAACCACTAAAATTGGTAGTTCTATTTGGTCATTTGGTTCCTTTTTCTTTCCCCTCAAAATGACCTTAAAATTTTTTGAAAGGTCACATTTGCGATGCTGCTCCCTCACAACCCTTCTCCTCTACAATGCACCACCTCTGCCCTCGTGTCTGCTCTTATGTCCCGACACGCTGCTATTAGGTGGAATCATTTCCAACATGTATGATGCCTGAAACTCCCCAAGAGCATCCAGAAGGATCCTCGCGATCAACTGACATTGTCGAAGCTTCTAGTTAGTAATCTACTGTGTTTTATTGTTTATGTTGTTGTCAAATTCCTTTTTGTGGATTCTTCTAATCTCAATTGTACTTATAAGGTCATCCATTCATTAAAAAGTTTAAGGATCTGGGTCTTGGGATTTTGGTAGATACCTTAGAATCTCCTCTAAATTTTACCAAATAATTCTTATAATTCAAAATTTGTATTTAAAAATCGTAATAACTCTTGGTCACACAATAGAGAAATTTCTCTTAAGTTATGCTATATTAAATATAAGTATACCAAAATTGTTTTATAGGTTGTGTGACGTAAAATTATGAATATTATAAACATATATATAATATTATTTAATTATTATCAATTTAACCATGATTTAATTATTAAACTTTAAACTAATATTTTTACTTGTCCAATTAATAACCACAATAAAAAAATTATATTTCTTTCTTTTTTTATAAAAAAAAAAGTAAAATTACTTTTTTCATTCTTTAATTTTAGGGTAAAATTCACTTTCGTCCTCTAAATATTTTTTAATTCATTTTAGACTTCTAACCTTTAAAAAATTTTAAACAGGTTCTTTTTCATTAAAGACCTAATTCTGTTAAAAAGTTTTGTCATTTTATATTATGTGTTACTATTTATCGTCTTCTTCCTCAAATCTTTTATTAGTTTTTGATGACTTTTCTTCTTCCTTTTCTCTTTCATCTTCATCTTCTTATACTCAAAACTTCATTTTCTTGCCACTAACACCAAGCACCTACCCCTAAATCTCATATCATAAACAAATCAACTTTCTAAATACATATTTTCTATCTCTCCGTTAATATGTCTGTCATAGCAAAAACATAAAGCACCTTATGATTTATAGTGAAAGTGAGAGAGTCATCATGTCCCATCACTATGTGCCTATTTTTGAGGTCATTAGCACTAGAAAACACAAAACTTTGCATTGTCTTCTTTAGGGTTGCAGTATTTGGGAGAATGATTCTAAGAATATGGTCGTGAATTACCAGAATTATTAGAACATATCAACAGCTACCATTCGAGGTGAGTACAAAACATGCTTGTTTTATACGGATCAGTTCAAAGAGCAATGAATTAATATTTTTATTGCAAGAAATTGATTTTAAAGAGAATTTGAGAGTCAAAATACAGAAGTAGGTGATATGAGGAAGAAGACAATGAACAATGTTGCATAATACAAGTGACACAAAATGACAAAAAATTTTAACTGAGAAAGATCTATTTGAAACTTTTGTAAAAGTTAAAAGATTAAAATAAAAAAAAAGTTAGACAAATGAAAGTAAATTTTACCTTAAAGTTAAATGACGAAAAGAGTAATTTAAAAAAAAATAAATGTTAAATTTAATGAATATTTTACAATTATAAATAAATCTTAATAATTATATTTATTTTAATTATTTAACTTATTTTCATGCGTGACATATTCATTTATGTCTACGATATTTCATAAATTCAATTATAATCAAAGTTAAAAACTTATGCGATATCATTTTTAATTTTAATACCTAAAATGTTAACACTATCATCATCTTACCTTTTGCTAAAGTTATATTACATATGCTTTACTTATTCCCATTAAAGCTAAAAACTTTAAACTTTTCTTCCAAAAGCTCATGTTTAGAATTAATATTTTTAAAAATGTCTCAACTAAGATTAATTTATCTGCAAAAGTATGTATTTAAAAAGAATTTTGTATGTCTCACTTAAAAACGCATTTAAAAATAGGTCAAATAAATAAGTACTAAAGATTTATAAAAAAAGATAATTCTTAACATCTAATAAAAAATAGACAAATCACAAAAGTATATTAATTTCTTCTGTTGGAGCTTTATAGCAAAATGCAATTAAAATTCAGTCCTCGACAACCACCGACTAAAATTAAAATGATTCCCACCAACATATGCGAAATACTAAATGCCACCCCATTGTTATTATTTTAATAAATAAAAAATTTACTCCATTCTCCAGTTTTATTTTATTGATTTTCGTTGTCAATATGTAAATTTATTGTTTTTGTTGGAATTTGGATTTAGCGAGGATGGAATCCAGAGAGTTTGGGGAAAGGACGGTATCCACTCCACTAAAAATACGGTTTTTCAAGTATGATATTATTAATTTGTGAAAACGAAACTCCTCCCAAATTGCCGACTCCACTTTCCGATTAGTGCCCAACCCACAACCCTTTTCTTAATCATTAGTGGACAGTGCTGTGTGCTGTCTATGTATCATTTCAAGTTCGCCTGAATTGGGAGGATGCTGTGTTTGGGTCGACTCGCCGGGCTCTCTTACTCAATAAATTTGTACGATTCCCGTTGGAATTGGAAGGGCCACAGTTACAACAGCAACAACAGATTGGTGCATGTAAATGTAAACAGGCCAAGATGGCGCTTGATGGCCCAAGAATCTGAGTCTTCTTTTGCACCCTCTATTGACTCTGATGCTGCTGCCGACAAAAACGCTGCTACTGGGTCGGTATTCTATTCTCCTTTTTGTTTTCTCTACCCCTAAACGAGTCTGTTTGATTAGTTCCTTTTTTGGGACTGATTTGCTCTTATTCTTTTAACCGCAGATTTTGCATCATAGAAGGCCCCGAAACAGTACAAGATTTTGCGAAAATGGAGCTTCAGGAAATTCAGGATAATATTCGAAGTCGGAGGAACAAAATCTTTTTGCATATGGAAGAGGTCGCAAATCACATTTTGTTATGCTATTACTACATTTTACCAAACACTGCTTGATTAGTAATGCACCGCCTTTATACATGGGTCGAATGAAATATGTTGCTAATGCCGCATACGATGCTCTAATGAATTTGTCGTGGTCAATTTTTCGTGCAAGTGCTTCAGGAAATAATCACTTATTTTTCAAATTTTCTCGATAAAAATAATTCATTATTGCTTCAAAAAGTTAAAAAGAAACACTCAATTGCATCTGATACTCGTGCTCTAGCTTTTGGCACTAAAACTAGTATGTAATAGGTTTACACAAAGAATTGAAAATAACTCCTCGATTTGGATGTCACTGCACATTTTGAGGAATCAGTGGGGCTTCCTGTAATAGTTTACATTTCATATCTGAGGTAGATTATTAAGGTGCGAAAATGATTTTAAGAACGCAAGAGAATTATTGCACCTGGTTAACAAACTGCAATTTTGGTGTGTCCTCATATTCATAACAATACGGGAATCAGCTATCTTCCCCCCTACAACTAAACCATATAGGAGCTCTATCTATAATGGTTGGTGTTATTGGAGAAGCCAAATGACAGGTGATTTAAGTAGCACATCAGATGGTGTATAACATATTTAAGTGACGTGACGAAAATGATGTTTTGTATGAGCTCTGATTTATCAAATAGCTGTAAGTAATAAGTAAACGATGAAGGTTCTAGAATTCATAAAAAATGCGTTTAATATTGAAGGAAGGTTTATTGGAAATTTGAAATATGAAAGCATAGGATGCTTTTTCTTTTTATTTGTATAGTGTTTCTGAATCTTGACGTCTTTAGTGATTTGACTGACTTAAACTTTCTTTGTCAGAATAGATATCTTATATACTGTTGCTTTTTCTAGGATCCTTTCATTTGAAAATGAGGTCTTATGTTGAGAAACATTATAGGATAACGTGTTCTTCAGTTGGATATTTTATTGCTTATAACTACTCTGCTCTATATAAAAGATATTGAGGTGATCTTATTGGCTATGCTTCTATTTTCCTGCATTAAAAGTATGTTGAAATAATATTTTTTCTTCATCAACTTTCCAAATTTTTTATGCAAATAATCTGTTCAAAATTTGAAGTGCCATTATGCGTTTTACTCTCTGGGAAGCCCTTTCCTCATGCTCAGTGTTCTCTTATTTTTATAGGTTCGTAGGCTCAGGATACAACAAAGGATCAAGAGTGCTGAACTTGGAATTTTGAAAGAAGAGCAAGAGAATGAACTTCCTAACTTCCCATCATTCATTCCATTCTTGCCCCCTTTGGTAAGTTTCTTGGAGTTAGACGTAATTGAATCATATCAATTATGCATTTAATAACATGTCAAAGTGATTTGTTGTCATTGTTCTTGATGAGCATGAAAAATTTACATTTCATTGGAAGAATTTGGCCAATGGTAATTAATACATATATTATTTGCAGACTTCAGCAAACCTCAAGCAGTATTATGCAACATGTTTTTCTCTAATTGCTGGGATAATTCTTTTTGGTGGTCTCCTTGCACCCAGTGTAAGTTTTTTGGGCAACTATTTCTGTGTTTTCAAGCTTGCATATGCTCACAAATTTGAAATTAGAGCAAGGAAATTTCTTTGTTGTTTGTTCCCTTTGCAATTTTCTTTGGATTAAATAAGTTGGAAGGAATTGACTATGTTTACTTTTATTTTATGAAACACCATCCTTAGTGTGAATCTAACCCTTTTGTGCTGGTGCAAGAATTGTACTATTACATCTTCAACTCCACTTCTCATTGATAAGAGAAAAAAAGAAGAAGAATGTCAATCATTATTGAAAAATAAGAGACTTCTCAAAGAGAAAGAGAGGGAAGACCTGAGACATAAACTGTAATATTCACTAATTATTCTGAATAGTTCAGTAAATAAGCTGACCCAAGTATTTATGTTGGCGCATTTTTTTAATTACTTAAACTCAAAAGCAATATCTATCCTTAATTATATTATTCTCACTCATAATACTGTGCATAGAAAGTACTGCAAATTGGGTACTTCATTTTTTACTTTATTTTATATTTTCCTTCTAATGTATCATGCTTAGTTATAAAGAGTTATTACCATGTGCGCTATTAGAAAATGATAAGGTGAGAAGAGAGAGTGAGAGAAAATCTCATAGAGAATCTGAATACAATCTATTCTAATAACGAGAGGATTACAAATTATTCTCTCTGGTGCAGAGAGTGGATTGTATACACTTATACTGGAGTACAGGATACCTAAAGCACATAACTAAATCTCTAACTGAGTACAGCTGTAGAAGGCTGTGGTATAAATAACGGATAACTGAACAACAAAACTTGTTACTGCTAACATAACGTAGGTGACTGAAATAAAGACTATGCCAGGCATATCATTCTAACGTGCCAAAATGAAAGTTATGCTTAATATTAAAGGGAACGGAGATTTGATTTACACATTTCCTATCTTTATGCATCTTTTGTGGATTTTAGTAAATATAAATTCCATTACCTTATCAACTTTCAGTTTTTCAACTCCTCTCATTTTTGTTTGATTTCTCAGTTGGAGCTTAAGCTTGGACTAGGGGGTACATCTTATGCAGATTTTATTAAAAGTGTCCACCTGCCAATGCAGTTGAGGTAGTTCACGTTTCCTGGTCTGATGTTGCCTCTTTATTCTTCTCAGGAGCAATGGAAATAGTCTATAGTCCCAAAATCTGATAATACAGAAGTTTTATTAATTGAAGCTGCATGCTATTTGTCTTTATACAAATATTTGATTCATGTCAGTTCATTGCTGCTAAAATGAATATCAGTGCATTTTATGTATTATTTTCTATCTTAACCAAATTCTGTTGGATATTCTAGTCAGGTTGATCCCATAGTGGCATCATTTTCTGGAGGAGCAGTTGGGGTAATTTCAGCATTAATGGTTGTTGAGATAAACAATGTAAAGCAGCAGGAGCAGAAAAGATGCAAGTATTGTCTTGGTACTGGTAAGACTTCAAAACCTCTTCTTTTATCTGCATTTTAGGAGTCAAATTTCTAAATGGTGGAACTGAAGGATTTTGTCATTCTTCCTTTAGCATCCTTTCCCCTTTCTTATTGCACATTCTTACCACTTTCTGCTTGCAAAGGAGGAGGCAGAGGAAAAAAACTGTATGTATGTTTCAATTAGAAAGGGAAATATAAGTCACGGAATAAAATGAAGATTGGACAGGTTCTTGTATCATACCAAACCCTGTTCACAATAATCCTTCTTTCTTCACAGTATTGGATCTCCTTATACTTTCGGATTCTTTGTGATCTGTTGTTCACAGTGTAAAGCGTCAAAGTGGAACACCTCTACTTTCTGCAATAGCATGGTTGCAGAGATTTATTAGCATAGAATACATAGCTCACATCCTCGTTAAACACAGTGTAGAGTCCAGGAAATGTTTGTAGATTATCACTCTCCATGGTTTGGGTTTGGCATTTTGTCAGCCAATGGAGATTTTAATGATTTATCTGTTGAAGCTTAATGCAAGAAAATTGACATACGTTTTATACTTTTGCTCTCTCAGGATATCTTGCATGTGCTCGCTGTTCAAGCACAGGATCACTTGTTTTGATTGAACCAGTATCCACACTCAATGGTGGAGATCATCAGCCTCTATCACCGCCAAAAACTGAGAGATGCTCAAATTGCTCTGGATCTGGCAAGGTTGGTCATTTAGAAGTATAAACTTCATTGTCTGTTAGCTTTGCATTAATTCTATTAGAGAACCTTCATAATCTACTTAACTAAAGCTTGTTGCTTTTCATTTCAGAAACATTTAAATTATTGCCAACAACAATAACATGTGTAACCTTTTACATGCTGTCTAGACCTGATATATGTATACTCATTAGACCTGAAGCAAGTCATGAGTAGCTTTGGTGTTGAGTGAAGATTTTATATTAAGTTTTAATACAGACTTGTTTTAGATTAAAGTTTCTAAACCTAAATCATTTCAGTTAAACACTTCAAACCAAAATCAATTTTACAAAATTAAGATCGTTCAAAATAAGTTTGCAAATGTCCATACAAACATACACCTAGACTAATTGGGTACATGTTCGTTTACGTGTTAGGTCCACAGGAACAGTGGTTTTTGAGAATTATTTTGTAATTGTGCTCAATTCTAATTGCAGGTTATGTGTCCTACGTGTCTTTGCACTGGAATGGCCATGGCAAGCGAACATGATCCACGAATTGATCCTTTTGATTAGAGGTTTGATACTGATAGTTATATTGAGCATGCAATTTGAAATTGTATAATTTGTGGTGGTAGATGTTTCCTTGGCGGAATGGAATTTCTGTAAATATATATAAATGCGAATCATAGAGAAAGAAAGTGGTTCAGAATATATCAACAGTTTCCCTTTATTTTTGAGAATTGAAAGTGGTGCAGCGACAAATATCATGTTCACTTTTGGTGAATCGCGGCAGAACCTTTTGCCAACAAAACGAGTGCTAGCATCATTATTTTTCAAATACAATATAACGAACTTTCTTATTGTGAGTTCATGATTCTTATATTAAGTTGGAGGGTTAAATTTGGACACTTCACTTTTTAATAATTTTATATTATAAGTTATTAAGTGATATAAGTATCTAAGTTTGATCTTAACGAATTATAACTTTTTAAAATATTTATATTTTAAGAGTTAGATAGATGTCTTGTCATATTGTTTATAAGAAAATAAAATAAAATGAATTAAGAATATATAATTAGTTTATACATTTAAATTTTTTGGAGAAGATAAATGAAGTTTTATAAAAAGTTAATTTAAATTTATTGTAAACTATTTTGAGATTTTTTTTAACTTACATTTATTCTTAAAGTATCATATCAATATTTGCTTCTACATTAAGTGATGCAAATCAAATTTAATAGGAATTCATAAAAAAATAATATAAATATCAAATATAATTAAACTTGATGTCAATTATACTCTAAAAGTAATTAAAAGATAATTTTTTTTTAAATAAGTTTTATAATGCCTTAAAGATTAAGATGATACTATATATCATTTATATATAAAATAATAATTATCGTTAATCTTATATTAAATATAATCGATAATAGGAGTTAGAGATTCATCTTAACAAGAATAAATATCTTTTAATTTTTAAAATATTAAAAATTATAACTATTAATTTAACAAAATGTATAAAATGCTTTTTGAAGTTTATGGACATGGTTGAAAACAACCTTTTTTTTTTAATTTTCCATTTGTCCAACAATATGCACGCAAAGAACACTGCTGGTTGTTGAGATCAAATTGATTAAAGAATTAACGCAATTATTTGTAGTTATCATTCAAGTGCGACAGTTGATACAATTAAGTTTTGTACTATAAAGTAATTATTAATTAACATACTAATGGCCCATTGTCATTTTGTCCGATGGGGTATGCATATAATGTAATGAATTCAGTTGATTTTTTTGATTTTTGGTGAGCTTTTAATTGAAGTATACTGTGATTATAAAAGGTTTTGCACAAGAGTTTTATAATGTATTGTCATATTCTTTAATGAAATTGATATATGAATAACATAATTTAATTAAAATGCATTAATACTGTAAAAAATTTTAAACTCCTCTAATCATGAATTGTTACATTAGTGAAAATTATTGACTTTCATAATAATTAAAAATTATATAACTATTCATCGATTAAAAAATGAAAACATCTTTTTTATTGTTTCATGAACACGATCATGCAAAGTACAATGCTGCCGCCGGTTGTTGATCTCTCTTCTTTCTTTCTTCTTTATATTTTTTAAGAAAAGTCTGGTTATTGGTCTGTTTTAATTTAAATAATTACGACAATTATATTATTCTTAGTTAACAAATACGAGATACATTTGCAAGTTTAAGATTTGGTGCTATAAAAGTAACTACATATAAACATATTGTCTTGAAAAATCTATCTCAACCTCTTAACTAGAAGAGGCCAAGAAGATGGAGAGAACTGTGGATGCCGATATTGTGATCGTGGGAGGAGGTATATGCGGCCTCGCAACAGCCCTTGCCCTTCACAGGTTTTATCTCCTTTTTCGTTGATTATGCATTTCAAATTCTCTAGTTTCCTTCTTCCACGCATCACTTTGTTGATAGTTGTGAAAATCTTATGATTTGCAATTTAAATCACATGATTCAATATGTTCGGTTTATACCCTGTGATGAATCAGAGATGATTTTGAATTTTCAACAACTAATGAATTGATGCGATTTGTACCTCCTTTATGAATCATTTAATTTAACAATGAATCTTTTTTTTTTATATATTTTTTTACCAAATCTTAAAAAAGGTTACATAAGCTGAATTTCTTTAATGGAAAGGAATTTGGAGAAGCAAAGAATGTTCCTTATTTGATTATTCCACTATTGTCTATTCAATTTTTTTAAAAATAAAAGTTTTGCATGCATCATAATTTGCTTATTCTATGCACGCTATTTAGTTTATTTTATCAATTCCTAGTTTAAAGTTATTATATCAAACAATGTCCATCACTTAAAGCTATATTTTAAATTATTTTTCCTTATATTTCTGAAGTTTACAATTCGAAAAATAGTTTAATGATTTACAATATGAATCGTGACTTGATGTATGCTTTAGTTTTTTTCAAATCATATGAAATAATTCCATTTGCATGAACTTCCTCGCAGGAAGAGAATTAGAAGTTTGGTGTTAGAAAGATCAGAGGATTTGCGAGCCACAGGAGCAGCTATAATAGTGCATGCAAATGGCTGGCGTGCACTTGATGAACTCGGTGTTGGCTCAACTCTTAGACAAACTGCCATTCCAATACGAGGGTAACATCTTTCTATGTTGTATTTTAATCTAATCCAAAGGAGAATTAAATGAGTTTATTACAAATCGATAATATTTTGTTGAAGTGAGGAAATGAAACATATTACCATTTATATTTTCATCATTTCTGGTACGAAAGAGTATTATCGCTACTGATTTTTTCTCTTATTACTTTCAGATTACATGTTACATATGATAAATATTGAACACAGATAGAGGAAGAAAGTTGGTAGTGTAAATACTAACAAAGTTACGTATTGCTGATAAATAGTTGTCTTAAATATATTACTTAAAGTTTGGTTATTGTCTTTGTAAAAGCTATTTGTGAAAAAAAAAACAAACCATTTTTGTTATCTCCCTGATTAAAAATCTAATTTTACAACGCTTAAATATCAAGAGCATCATTATCTCATATAGCTGATAATAACAGAGTTCACATTTTCAGGGGAAGATTAGTATTTCTGAGTGAGACACAGGCAAAAGAAATACCATTTGGGTGAGTTGCATAGCACTTTTCTATATAAAAAGAATTCGTGTGAGTGAAATATATATCTCACAGTTTTTGCTAATAAACAGGATTGATTTAGAGTTTCGTTGTATAAAACGTACTGATCTAATCAAAGCCATGGCCAATAGTTTGCCAGAGGGAACTATACGTACCCGCTGTCAAGTGCTTTCCATTGAATTTGATCCTTTAACACGGTATCCACAACTTCTTCTTAGCAATGGTAGTATCATTCAAGCCAAGGTATACTCGTGTCTTTTCTACGTTATTTCTTGTAAAAACATGTCCACATAGCCATTAATTTGGGAGTTGAAAATGCTTGTTAAAAACAATTTAATAACAAATAAATGGATGGAATGCAATGCTACAATTACTCACTCACGCTGCATGTTTATCTGTATCAGGTTGTTATTGGATGTGATGGTGTGAATTCTGCCATTGCAAATGTATTTGGGTTACACCGAGCAAAGCTCTTGCTATTCTCTACATCTGTTGCACGAGGCATCACAGATTATCCAAAAGGTCATCAATTTGCTAGTGAGTTTGCCATGATGAACAGAGGTCATGTCCAACTCGGAAGAATCCCAATGACTGATAAACGCGTTTATTGGTTTGTCACAAGATTTGGAACTTCTCAAGGTCATTAGTAATTAACTCTCACTGTATAACCCACATATTAAATAATACATTTTTTAATAAAATTTTAATGTGAATAATCAAAATATATAAGTAATTTTTAAAAGTAATCATGGAACTTATCCAATATTTAATTTTAATTATCAATGTACATTGTATGATTTCTCTTTAAGAGATCCTCTCCTTTATTTAGAGATATATACATAAGAACTAATTTTGTTTGAACCTACAAAAGCAGATTCAATGATTTCAAAGGACCCAGTTCTTATTAGACAATCATTAATGGAATCAATGAATGGTTTCCCAGTAGGGGCAATGGACATGATAGAAAATTGCGAGTTGAACCACTTGCATCTCACTGACTTGAAGTATCGCCCACCATGGGACTTGATTCTTAACAACTTCAGGAAAGATACACTAACAATTGCTGGTGATGCAATGCATGCAACAGGCCCATTCATTGCACAGGGTGGCTCAGCCTCAATAGAAGATGCAATTGTTCTTGCTAGAAGCCTGGCCCAAAAGATGCACAATCCTTATAGATCAGATCAAAGAGAGAAAAAAGCAATAGAGGAAGCACTCGATCAATATGTCAAAGAAAGAAGGATGAGACTCTTGTGGCTCTCTTTACATAGTTTCCTCATTGGGAAGAAGCTTGATGCTCGATCATTCATAGTCAAATCGATCATCCTTATAATCTTGTCCTTTCTGTTTAAAGATCCAGATTGGCATTCCCGCTATGATTGTGGAAATCTATAGGACAAAGGTTTTAACATTTATGACTTGTAATTTTGTGCATATATCATGCTTACTTAATATACTGTAACTGAATACATTGATATTTTTTTTTCCATATTCTCTTCTTTCCAAATTTGTTTTTCATCTAAAAAGTTAGAAAATAATTTGAAGGGTTACCGCAACGGTATAAAATTTCAGTGGTGTGTTAGAGGTATTTGTGATCAATTTATTTAAAGTTTTGTATTTGAAATTCATTATGTACAAAATTCTCTAACTTTAAGACATTTCATTCTTTAACTTTGAAAAAAAATTAAAAAATACAAGTATAAACCTAATTTTTTTAAAAAAAATGCATTTTGTCATTAATTTTATAAGGCATTTTAACTTCATTAACTCTAATTGTTATTAATTTTTTTACATTATTTTTGGGATAATTTATGTTATTAATTAGTTTTTAACAAATCATTTTTATTTTATTTTACCATTGGCACCCTCTAATGATCACGCTTTAAAGTTTAGATTTAAAGTGTCATATGCTAATACAAAGTAATGGACAACAAGTAATATGTAATGTAATGCTAAATATATTATTTAATTATGTAACTTTGTTTTTTATTTGTTAACCTTGTCTTTTTTTATTTTTTTACATTAGATTTAGAATATATATATATATATATATATATATATATATAGTTGAGTGTGTTGGGCAGAAGAGTTTTTTTTTTTAATTCACTTACTTTATGTGGATGACATGCTGATTATTGGTCATAACATGAACAAGATTGAAAAAGTCAAGGTGAATAATTCCTTTATAATGAAAGTTTTGGGACTCACAAAAGCAAATTCTCAAAATGAGAATTATTCGAGATAGAAAGTATGATAAATTGTGAATATCACAGCAAAAATATATTAAGAAGGTATTGGAGAGGTTTTACATGGGTAATTCCAAATTAATTTATACTTGCTAATCACTTCAAGTTAAGCTCTTTGTAATGTCTTATAAGCAAGAGCTAGCAACCATGGTCACACAAAAATGCATTATAGAGGAAATTGTGACACTAAATGAGCTATAGTAAAGAGCTATGACATCCACATATAAAGAATATAAAGTCTAAAAAGTATCGTTGAGTGAATGACAGCTTACATGGAAGAGAATAAAAATATGAACTTTAACATTTTAGAGTTGTATAGTATCTTAATTCATAGTGAGACTTTCTATTTAAAACTCCTATATCTAACAAAGTAGATTAAAAAAATTAGATTACACTCTTTCAATATTTTGAAATCTTCCTATTGAGATTTTATTTTTGTCACATGAATGTGAAATTTTTTTTAACTTTCAATATGCTTATAATTTTTTGTAATTTTTTTTAATAATAAAAGGAGGAAAAATAATTTTAAATTTAAATGCTGATTTGTTCAAAACTTAATTATAATGTTAAATACACTAAGTGAATTAATTGGTGAATGTCATTTAATTTCTTTTAGAATGTCATCATTTCAATTTGATATTTTAAAAAGTTATACTTTTTATAATATTTGTAACAAATTTATTTAATTATTTTTATGAAATGAAATTATGTAACGTTAGGCCTGGTATATCTATATACATAAAAAAAATATGTGTATGGTTTTGAGTGAAAAAATGAAAATTCAAAAAATTGATAAGACGCGCCCATTGAAATTATAAAAAGGCAAGGAGAACCGCCTTCCCAATTCTATCGTCACCCGCCACTGCTTGGGAATTGTTTATTTTACTATCATTACACGTACCCACTGTGTAACAATAAATAAATATAGTTGTATAATTAAAATACTATTATTATTTATAATTTAGTTATCTACGTTTCTTGTTTGGAGTTCAATGTGGGCCCCGCTCATGCCTTTGGTCTTCTTCCTTTTCTTTAATACAATTCAACTTTTTCCAAGAAAGTTACTATTGGATAGGGACATCAGTTTGGCCTTGTTCCCTCACATTTCCCTTTTATTACACTAATTAAAAAAAATTTAATGGAAAAATAATAAATAAAAAGAAAAAATGAAAATTAACTATTAAAAAATTAGTTAATAATATATACTTAATAAAGTTTAATTGTATAAATTTTCACAAAATAGATAAACCATATTAACAATAGTTTTTATTGAGTTATACTCAAGTAGGGAGATAATTTGATTTAATTACTGTGTATTATTTGTAAAACTAACATTTATTTTATATAGATTATTATTTTCTTTTATAAGATTGGGCTATATTTATTTCTCGTTTTGTACAGATCCCGTGGCTAATCAATCAGAGTAATGACAGCAATTGGTATTCACATCAGTAATAACAGTTAAAATTTAAATTGTAATTACGTAGTTTTTCCTACTTTGCATGTTCATGTGCTACTAATTCAATTACACAAATATTTGTATTCGAAAAATAATATTATTCAAATAAAAAACACTCACGGCAAAATCAATTAGTAAGGGTTTTTGTTATATAAAAATCTCACACTGAAGCTTTATTTAAAAAAATTAAATGCATACAACTTAGACTAAGAATTATATTCGATTTGAGTCATTATTCATTAAATTATTAAATTATCTGTTACCTTTGAAATTCATGTAATGTAAATGACAGCACCACATTTAATTTTTCATCAAAATTTATTTAATATTTTAATTAATTTTTATAAATGTTAATTATAACATGACAATAAACGTCAAATATTTAATCAGATATTAGGGGATAAAACAATTTAATTTTTATATACATTTAATATTTCTGTTTATTTGTAATAATAATTTTCAAAATGATAATGACAATAAATATCTTTTAATAAGTTTATGATCCATAATTTGTTAAATTTAAAATTTATGAAATTGATATCAGATAAAATCACAATTCAGAGACTGAACAGGTTGCTAAGTATTTATTTATATGATCTCTACAGTACATAGAGGCACCTCTTCATTTATTTAATTTAGAACCAGAGAGAAAGTAAAAAAAGGGAAGAGAGCTGGTGCAAGGATGAAAGAATAATTGGAAAAAAGGGGAAAAAATGAAAAAGGTAAGGAAATTAAAAAGGCAGTTGAGAGAGAACCGCCATTAGAAAGGTGATTGAATGACAATAATGCCATCGCCAAAAGTGGATATATACAAAAAACAGTCCAACTAACCCTAGCAACTAGCGCCTTCTACTCCACCCTAAACAACAACGCCGTCGTCTCCTCTGTCTCAGTTCTGCTTTTGCTTCTACAAACAAACACTCACTCCTTTATCTCTACACTATATTAGATCTATTTTCCCCCCCAATTGATTCGACGTCGTTTTTATAACCCGGCAAAACAGACCATGGTGGTCAACGAGAGACCCGCCAAGAGGATGAAGAGGAGAGTCACAGCTGATCTCTATGATTTTCTCACTTTCCCCGTCGCTGGTGACGCCTCCTCCGACGGACCTTTCCGGAACTCCGTTCAGCGCTTCCTCTCCGACCACGCGCGCATCACTTTCCCTCCTTCGCTCTTTCCATCCTTCATGACGTGGCAGATCTTGTTCCGTGTTGGAGACATCGTCCACGGGCCCGATCTCTCGCCGGCGATGGTCACTCTTGACATTGTCGAGGAGGACGTAACTCGTTCTCGTACTTCTGTTTACTGCGACCAGTGCCGAGTCGTTGGTGAGTTCAATCGCCGAGTCTGCAACTCGGTCCATGTAGAGCCACGCATTCTGTTTGGCTGAAATGAATTTTGGACACAAAAATCACGGAGGAACAAAATTTTACTTTGAATTCTCTATTTTAATCTCTGTTTAACTTTCTCTGTAAAAATTAATTCGTGAGCCAATTCACTAAGTCATGAATTATAGACTAGTAATATAAGCAATCTGCTACATCAGATATTTTCTCCCGCACTCTAAAATTTGGTTAAAAATTAATACTGACCATTATAATGTCTTTCCTAAAATTTTTGTATTATTATTATTATTATTATTAAGTGGGTGTGTGTGAAAATGGGTGGATATTAAGCATTTTTACGTGAGTGAGGGGTTTGGGGGATATGGATGCGTTCTAATACTCGACTTTTTTGTTGGAAAAAAATAAATAAAGGATGGAGTTCACATCCTGTGTGTCGAAAGCGGTACCATTTCATAATAAGGGCTGCAAGTAACGCTATCGAAGCATATCAAAGACCTTGTTCACGATGTGGAAATCTCCTCCAATTATCTGAAACAAGGTAAAGGTTCGCTGTTTTTATTCTATTTTCCATTAAAACTTTTACCGTTGTTGATTTTTTTAATTCAAATTAAATACATTATGGTTTGGATTATTCGACATCCTGGCAGGTGTAGATCGTGTAACTTTGTTATCACCGTGGATGACCTTGAGGATTGGGTGTATCTTCAAATAGAAGATAACACCCATCTTCTGCATGGTGTTGTCCACGCCAATGGTTACGGACACCTGCTTACCCTTAATGGAAGAGAAGGTGGCTCGAAGCTTCTCTCAGGATCTGTTATCATGGGTTTCTGGGATAGGCTATGTGCTGCGATTTCTGTTAGGTATGAATCATTCATCTTTTTCACATTTTGATAAAAGATGAGCTTGTCCTCTGTTTTGTTTTTAAGCAAATTGTGATGTATACTTGAGCAGGAAGGTTAGCGTGATGGATTTGTCCAAGAAATTTGGGCTGGAATATCGGTTGCTTCATGCAGTCACCAACGGACATTCGTGGTATGGCAATTGGGGTTATGAATTTGGAACAGGCAGCTATGCCCTTACCCAAGATGCGTACAAGGAAGCAGTGAATACCCTGTCGAGCATGCCCTTGTCTTCATTTTCATTCCATGGACGGGGACCACGAAGCCGCTTGCAGTGTGTCATTTCTCTTTATCAGTCTTTGGCAGATACTGAACTTCTAACAATTGAAGATCTGTTCGGCTTTTTGTTGACGTTGGTTTACGAATGTCGTAAGCCCACGACCACTCCCACAGGTACTTCTAAACAGCATGAATACAGCAGCACCACTTTATTGTGTGCTTGGACGGGAAAGGAAGTTGAAGATGTGCAGCAGGCTTTGATCAAGGTATTGCTTGCATCTGATGCCCGCGATGAGGCCAAATGGGTTACAAGGCGTGCCCTCAAGGGTGCGGTGTGCAGGAGTGTTGCATCTCCAGAGCTTCTGGACTACTGTCTTAAGAACTTGCAAGGAAAATCCGCTGCCGATGGAATGGTAGTTTGTTCACGATGCAATCCCATTTCCAGTGCAATCGAATTCAGGTAGTATTGAAGACGTGACTTTTATCAATTGCTTCTGTACTTGCACAACTAATGCTTATTATGTTTTATATCCATAACTACAGGTTGGGACCGTCGACTAATGGAGTTCGTGCAAATTCATGTTATCCATCAGAAGAGCAAGTGGTCTCCGATTTGAAATTCTTATTTGATTCAATTATTCACCCCGACAAAATGTTGAGCTACAGACCTAGGGTTATGAGGAAAAGGGTGGCTAATTCGGCCAGGAAGCTCCTTGACTGTAAGCAGTTTATGAAGGATTACAAGCCAGATGAAGTAGCCGTAGAACAGCCATCAGTCATTAGGCTGTGGTGTCATGTGGAGCTTTCTGATCAGCCTAAAGATGATCCATCCCCACCGCCAGAGCTGATTGTGTTGCCTTTGAATGCCACCGTTGCTGACCTCAAGAGCGAAGTCACTAGTGCTTTTCAAGAGGTATATGCAATGTATAAAAGGTTTCAAGCTGAGGAACTCCTGGGTTATGGGTCAATCAGTGATTCGCTCACCGTCAAGTTTCTGCTTGGAACTAGTGGATCAATCCAAATTCAAGGTAAATGCCCAGCCAAAAATGGGCTAAGCCGGTTCCGAATGGAACGAGGAACAGAGGCATGGAAGGTTGATTGCACTTGCGGGGCTAAGGATGATGATGGAGAAAAAATGTTAGCGTGTGATACTTGCGGCATTTGGCAGCATACCAGATGCGCTGGAATTAAGAATTCTGATGGCATGCCTTCGAAGTTTGTGTGTGAGAGATGCGTCCACTCTTACCGTGAGGAGACCAAAAAACTGCCAGACTCTGGTGACGAGGCTTACAAGACTTGTAATTTGAACACATCTTGCAGGGATGAAGCAGTGGCAACGGACTGTGCAAGTGCAGCAGTTGCTTGTAACATATCTGTGAATTTTGGTGTACGTTGAGTGTACAGCTTTTGTATTTATGTCTGTATAGCTTTTATTTGTCTTCGGCTAGGTTTTTATGTCATGCCAGCTGGGGCCAGAAGTTGTCAATTGTTTAGAGGCCTGTTTTTGACAGCTTGCGCTCTCTTGTCAATATAACTTGATTTTATCGAGCTCAAAGAAAAATGAATCGACAGTGACCGCTTTATTATTTGCTCGATCTTGCTTCATGCATTCATAAGCAACTTGGTCCATGAAAATTATCTTATACATTTCAATTGTATGTAGCTTATGCCATGTTAATCAATTCTTTCGAAACTAAAATGAAATAATAGAATCATGATTCGAATTATTAGTTTTAAATTCAAATTCAACTTACTTCTAAGATGACAGTACGATCATTTTCTTTCCATTCTTGTGCGTGCGGTTGATGGTTCACTTGTACTTGCTCCGATTCCCAGCCATCGCCAAACAATAGAAGTAGATTTTCTGCTCCTTGGATTGGATAATGACGGAATGTTTCTATCTCTGAATTTGAAAGGCAGCCGATAGCTTCCCAAGCTAGTGTAATTTTGCACCTGTGGGGGCTCAATAATTTGATTCAAGCGCCACAACTAGAAAAACTAAGGTTGCGACGATTATTGTGGCAGCTGGTAACTCCCAACTAATAAATCACCTTCCATGGTGTGACTCCAACTAACAACACTTTAAAAATAGGTCAAGGTCAAACTAACCTCCAGTTTCAAGTTGTCATACATTTACTTTTATGGAGTGACTCACTCACCTTCCATGCTCATTTAGATGAGGATGATTCACTTGCTACTCCATTGATCAATTTGGCTGCTAGCATGTTCTCCTTAAATTTGATGTCATCCATTGAAAGGGATGCAACATCTAGTCAATTAACAATTAAATATCAAGCTTGACACAAGATATGTGAAATAATATGCAGCAACTGAGACGACTTCAGCTTGCCAAGGGTGCGAGTACTTAAAGATTAGAATGCAATTGTGGAGGATTGGCCTGAAGATGCCAAAAGACTTTCTGATAAGAAAATATCTCCAGCAACCCAGAATAATAGAAAACGAAACTATGTCTATGCACAAAAGTTTAGAAGAGGAAAACACTAAGCAAAGAGAAATATATAGTTTCTTTTCTGGCAAAGCAGGACATTCATGACCAATAGGCTGCATTAATATACATCTAATAGAGCAAATAGTAGCATAAAGTGAAATGCCAGGTGACTTAAATGAATTTTATATTCCTTAGTGTATAAGGCTATGACAAGAATATTGAGGCAAGATATATATGAATACAATTAACTACACAGATTAAAGATAATGAAAGAATACAGTTATGAGTATATACAAGCCAGAGCCAATCCAATGTAATCCACTCACTAAACTGGCAAAGTTTAAAACACACATATAAAACCAAATGACACATACCAGCCATGAAGCTTCATTATGAAAAATGACATTGTTCCAAATATTCAGGCTTCAAAAAGGTTTTCTGAGATTCCATTATCAATCCCTGAATCATCAGGGAAGTTCAAGTCCCAGAGAACAATTTTTCTAAAACTTGCAGATATGAGACACAGGTAAACTAATGTTTGAAATTTTAAAAAGAAAAAAAAAACAAAAGAAATCCAATATCAACTTAGACAGTGTTACCACAGCAACATAGGCATAAAGAATCTATATAAATTAAAAAGGCTTTGTTGTAATTAATGTAACTTTTTTCCCCTTAAAACAATAGCCAAGACAACTTCACTCTAATCTTCTAAACAGAATAGCACACTATATTAAGCAATGTGCAGTGGATGTAGCTCCACTGCACAATCGATCACTTCATCAGTGGATGATCTCATTCTCTCTAATAGGTTTCTGTTATCAAGAAGAATTGCCGAGAAATCGTATGTAAAAGTAAAAGTAATACCGCGAAGCTGGGAAAATAGTTAGCATCAAGCTATAAGATATGCATCAAAGAGCAAGCAGTGTTGAACAGAAGCATACGAAAAAGGAAATCACAATCATGTGACATTCAGATAAAACGATTCATCGGTAATGAAATTAAGATCTAACCATAAACGAACCTAATTAATCAAAGTAAAATTTGTTGAATAACGTGGTGCTAACCCTAAGTCCGATAAATGTTATGAAGTTTCTAACGAAACGTGTAAAACAGAATAAGATAGAGAAGCATTGAAATAAGAAAAAGAAATAATCACCGCATAGGCCATAAGGAATGGGAGGAGATGATATCCTCCATCGGAACTGTGGACTGTGAGATGAGATAAAGAGTGCAGTGGATAACAGTAACACTTTAGGTTTGGTTTTTATGCTTCTTTTTGTTTTAGTTAGCTGAGAACTGGCTTCTTAATTTTACAAATCAATTTTGTCTCCATGAAACTGTAGCCGTGTACGGTTAGGGCTCTGACTTTTTTTAAAGGGGTGTTCTTTTATTAATTTTTTTTATTAAAAATTATATTGAAATATATTGAAAATTTGAAATTGTTTATATTGTCATTAATAAAAAAATATTTTTATTTTATTTTAATAAATAATTTTAAAATATTAGTTAACATTTTTTTTCTTTAAATAGTGATTGAATTCTTACTATAATTAGTTTTTTTTTGCACTTATATTTTAAAAATTAACTAAAAGATTGTTGTAATAATTTATTTTAAGTATTACTTTTTAAAAAAAATTAGGACATGACATTTTACTTTTTTTCTCTAGTGAATTTTAAGATACAAAATAGAGATTTAGAAAAAAGGAACTAAATACTTTTAGCATGATGTTATATATATAGAAGAATGATTTTCTTCCACTAGTGTAAATTTAAAAATTCTTACACTCGATTCGAATATTTCATTTAATTTATATCTAATAGTCAGTGAAGTAATAATTATAATATGTTAGATGTGAATTAAATAAAAAGTTCAGATTGAGTATAAGAGTTTAAGACATGACATTTTTTTTTTCTCTAATTAATTTTAAGATACAAAATAGAAGTTTTAGAAAAGATAAACTAAGTACTTTTAGCATGATGTTATATATATATATATATAGAGGCAAGATTAAATGAAAGGCTCAGATCTAGTATAAGAAAATCCTTTCCATATATAAATATAAATATAGATATTAAATTATACTGATTTAAGTTATACTAAACTTTTACACCATTTAATATTATTAGATAATTTAGTCATAAAATTAACTGTTAGATTAAAAATTTTAATCACATGTTATATATGAAAATTTAAGATGAATTTAAAATTATTTGATATCTTTTATATATATATATATATATATATATTAAAATTAACATAATATATTATTAAAATTTATAAAATTAAAGACTCTTTGATAACAATCTTATAAATGTTTAATTTAAATAAAATTTAACACAAATAATTTAAGTAATATAAAATTATAATTTAATAATTAGATTAATAAAAATATTTCTTTATTAAATTATTAATAATATACGAGTAAGTATAATTTACACCAGTGTTATTTGATCTCAACCCTCTCTCTTTTTATATATATATATATATAATAGAAGTCATTAATAGTTATAAAAAAAAATTAAAACATTAAAAAAATGTGATTGAAATCATTATAATACAAAATATAGTTATTAGAATATGACATTTATTAAATCAGTTAAGATAATGATTTAAGATTTAATGATTAAATTAATAATATATATATATATATATATATATATATATATATATATATATACTTTAACTTACATATGTTATATTTGATTTGATTTATATGTTAAACAGAGTACTACAATATCGTTACTCTAAAATATAAATTAAAGTAATAAATATTATAACAGTTATTAATATTAAATCTATCATAGTTTCTTCACTTGTTCCTTTATTGCTTTCATTGCTATCAAAGTTTAAAAAAAATCATTTAATTCTAATATTGGTTATTTTATAGTTTTGATTTTTTTTTACTTAATTAAGCAACAAACAAATAAAAAAATTAAAATTCAGGTATATAATAATTTATAAAATAAAATATATAAACATAATTAAATATTAACTTTCATTATTTAATAGTTCACTAACAAGTGAAATTGCATTTTCTTAACAAATAATATTATCAATCTCTTCAATATTATTAAATTGAGAAAATGACTTTTCTTCAATGATCCAAAAAAATTAACTTTATCAATAGATTCATAATCAATAGATCATAAACTCCCTTATTGTATTCCAACCTAAAATAAACCATAATAATCATACAATTTTGCTAAAAAATGATATTTTAAAGTTGAAGTAATTTATAATTAACAATGTATACCTATTTTTTAAATGCAAATTATAAGTAACATAAATATTATCATTTAATCTTTGATGTTCAAGTCTATTTCTTCTCTTTATACAAATAAGTTCAAACAAATTTCAATTTCTTTCACACCCTAAAAAGGAAAATGTTTGGCTAAAAAGACTGATGAATTCATATTTTTTTTAAATTTTTACTAGTCTTTTTAGTGTTCTTTAATAGAAAAAGCAAACTTAAAAAGTGTAAATAAGATAAAAATTATATTTAGGTCAATTATCATAGGTTTCTTAATTTTTGATTAATTTACATATATATATAATTTGCAATTTTAATCATTTGAATAATTATGCAAGAATTTTTAGACTTATTCCATGGATTTTTAGCCTTCGAGAAAATTTGAGTTGAAAGTGGTCACTTTCAGAAGTGATAATGAACACTATAACAAGCTAAATCCAAGTAGCTACACGTAGCGCACGTAACCACTATTACCTGCCATAGTAACAACTCCAGAGATGAATGACAAGACTGGAAGGCTGCGCGTAGCTACTATCATTTTCATAGTAACTTTTATGGACGACGACCACTTCACTATAAATGAATTTTTGGAAATTAGGGTGAGGGAGCTTTTTACACTTTTAGATTTTTTCTATTTTGAGAACACTTGAAGAACTTAGGTTAGTCTTAGGTGACAGCCAAGGACCCAACCTAGAGTTTGATTCACATTTTCTCTTTACTTTTCTTTGATTTTACATTCATGTCATTGAATTCTCGTTGTTTTCATCCTTATGGAGGGCTAAATCTTTTGTAATCCTTAGTGAGTTCACTTGAATTCTTGAATTCATGGGTTATGAATATTAATACAATTCCTTTTTCTTCATGAATTTTTTCCCTAATCCTCT